ACACTTCATATAGCTCGCGTTGGTCTACCCGGGCCAAGAGAGGTAAGGGAACAGATAGTAGCACTCGGGTGTAGTTGACAATGCGTTGGTGTAAGTGGATACGATCAGCACTTGAAGAAAGCGCTACTGCGAACGACTCTCTTGAACGTTGACCTGCAGCGCAGCGAGAGTCCAATGAGGTCAATGGAAGCAAGACTTCGTTGACTATGTAGACATCGCTTTCTGGACTGGTTTGCTGTCAAATACAGCGATCTCTCATCCTTCCAAAGTACAAAATTATTATTTTCGGCACCTATATTGTGCCGCTAAGAAGTGGGGTGGTTGATTGTGGCATTTTTGAGGGTATTGCCCAAATGAAGTGCGTGTCGGATGGTGATGATAAAGTAAAAGGAAAGAGTAAGCCCAATGTGCTAGCGGAGACATGTGACAGTGTCGTATTGCAAAATATGAAAGTAAATTTCACTGTCCTTAGTGAAGAAGAAGGATGCAAGGTTGCCTATTTAGATGTGTTTCCCAAAGGAAGTACAAACGTAAACTACAAGGGCATTGTTCTGTTCATCTTAGCTGTGCTAGCGTTGGTGCTCACGTGGGCAACTCTGAGGGCAGACCTCTGATTGGCGCATTGTAAAGACAATAAAAGCCATCCTGCAGCAACATTGCTTAACCGGCCTCGACGCGGCGCGTAAGGTATCCACTGACAACGCGTATGTTCCTTTTTTGTTCTCTTGTGATGTCCTTTCTTCCGCCCAGTCTCTCCTGTCCCCGAAAGGCATTACCTGCCATCACTTTTACATTTCCAAACAAAAATGAACAGTTCGCATTATGCTCGGCTATACAAAGCTTATAAGAGCGCTTAACTATTCGGCTCGATTGTTTATATGCGTGCCCAATCTAAAGACGCAAATTGCCCAAGCCCACATTGTAGATAGTTTACTGGCTATTTCTACACTAGAGCCAAGCAGTGAAACTAGTGTTGTGCCTTTTGCTACGGATTTCGGTGTGATGCCAACGAAAGAGGCGTTCTCCGGCAGAACCGGATTTTAATGTACTAATGCATGTTGATTTTGCATTTGGTCCCGCTGAGATGATCAGTACTTTGGCGGTTCTAATAAAATTGCAACTTCTGTCATGACAAAGTTGCAACTAAAGATGTGCCTATCAGTGATTTAAAACTGTCCTAAAGGTGAAGTGGGTTTAAAGCCTTATAAGCGTCACAAGTGTCATATTAATTTGGGAAGGAGCATCCAAGTTGTTCATAAAAGTGATTCGTGAGGTGATGTACAGATTTACATTTAATTGAAGGAAACGCCTTCAAAGGTGGTTTCGACAAGCATTCTCGGGCCTTAAACTGATCGTTTCCCAATATTTTAGACAACTTTGCCACAAACCAATGGGACAAGCACCACTTGGAAGTCTTCCAGCTCAAGTAGCACCAGGTTAAATTTTTGCTGCACTTTGTCTCCAAATATTGTTTGTAGGCTTAGATTGCTAACCAAACCCAATTTGTTCCCACTGAAGCGCTAATGGGCCTCTCTCCAGATTACGGAATGAGCGCCATCCTTCCTTCTTTGGCGGCCTCCCATCTGCAGGGTCAAATGGGTTACCCGCCCCATGCCGGATACTCGCCTATGTGGAATCACAATGGGTATCCTAATCAAAATTTAAATTGGTATTCACCTCAAGGGCAAATGCTGTATCCCGGAGGTCAAACTGGCTACAGTGGTACACCTCCTCCGTATAGCGCTGCGAATAACACCGACCAGGGTTTCGCAAACAGCAACCCTTATAGTAAAGTACTCTAAATGGCTTAACAATCGGACCGTTACTATTATATCTCTTTTTTATAAGTCACTGGTTTGACAAAGACTCCGATAACGACCCCATTCAACTTTATTCATTCATTATGTGGGAAAGCAGGGAAAGGCTGTGGCGTTAGCATAGTTTTGGTGCCTAATTGCTAGCAAGTAGACAGTCACGACCGCTATTAGCGTAAAAATGGTGGCAGGAAGCGGAAAGTTTTATTGTGCATTTTGAAGTGGTGATAGAAAACTTTAATGCGCTGAGTTACATTTAACTCACGTCTTTCTTCCAATTTATGCAATCGCCTCACGATCTTGCGGTCCCACTTATTCACAATACTTTGAGGTGGGAAGACGAACAAAATATGGCTGAAATGAGGCGTCGCGGGACATCCACATCTATTAAAAATTATGAACTCCACAACGTTCGATGAGACCGAGACGCTTGTTCTGATTTGTACAATCTGAGCTGAAGGCAGCAAATCCACTGAGAAATGGATTTTATCCCCACTTTGCTGCTCTTTTGAATTTGGTCCGATCCTCATTTAATAGAAGCGTAACTTTGTCATTGTCAAAACCACGCCTTACGAACTGCAGATTCTTTAAAATTTCAATAAAATCTCAACGTGTCTGTCTTTTCGGCGAGTTTTACCGGATCTCAGGTTGTAGTATGGTGGGAAGAGAGAGTAAAAATTTTGGAGTGGTATTTGTCCTATTCAAGGTAGCTTATTTCATTCCTTGAGTCCTTGACAAGCAAAGTCACTATTAAATCACGCTTAACCGATATTTCTCTAAAATTCGTTACACTTATAGCAGATTCGATTTCACAAATTTTTTTAAACTCCACCCAAAGGAACGGGCTTCTTGCTCAAGGTTCCTTTGAATGATTTTAGAAAACAAGCGTTTGCTTTACTTTTCATTGTCCTTCAAAAACTAAATATCTGCTTTAGAAGTAATTTGTAAGGCAATTAACGTACCAGCACAATGGTGAGAATGCCGTGGTTTTCCTTTTTGCCACACCTTTGAGCACCACTTGCTTCCCCGCAGACAAGGCTTTGGTGAATGTCTAAGGCTTTCGACACCCGCATGAACTTGTAAAGAAACCTGTGTGGGTCGCAAAACCTTGAACCTCATGGGATGTTATGGTAAAGTATATAATTATAGCAAAGACGAAGGCTATCAGAGTGTGGTTGGGCTAGGAGACCAAAAGCCTAAGTAGTGCAGCTTTGACAGCTATTCTCACAACCTACCAAATAGTAGATCATCACACATTCCTCTTTTGAAGCAAAAAATTTCTTCTCAGATAAGGATATAAATCCTTGCACACATTTACAGTGGTAAAATGAGGCTTATTTATCATTCTTTCGAGCAGTATTCCCTTAATCACGGTTCGACATTGGCAGCCCCAAAGTGACGAGGAGTATTGAAAAGAAAATAGACCTACTAAGTACAAATGCACGAAAAAATGGATAAAGACAAAATAATTAACAAATGTACACTTTTGAAGAATGAGGCAGAAAGTCAAGAATGTTTTCGATTATAATCTCAGTTAAAAATACACCTCCATTTTCGCTTTATGTGCAACATGTTACTTTTAAAAAATAAGTAAAAACATTTACTTTGTAGCAACACTGTTCTAACCTGTAAAATAACTGTAGAAAAACCATTAAAAATGACTAATTACAGCTTTCACAGTGTTTTCGGTCCTTATGTCACGTTGATAAATGATGGCACCATCCATGGCAAAAGCGGATGCCCCAGTGGTAATGCTTTGAAAAATTAAACAAATGGCCTGGTTTTTAAGGTAGGAAAAGTCTCACATATTCGCCGAAAAAAGTCTACACAACCAAATCTGTCTTGTCAAGCATCCAACAGGTTTTAAAATGCATTGGTTTGCGTAAAATTAACCAAATTTTGGTGCAGAGATATAACCCAACATTAAAAGTGATCGTTCAAGTGCTTTAGGGTAGTGTAATTGCGCAAACATTTTTTTATTCATTCGAAAAACGACCAAAATTTAACTTTGCTACCATGAGCATGGTAGGCGCATAGCAGCAAAAATGTAACAAGCCTGAGTTAAACACCTTGCACCAGTGCAACAGAATTTGATGCGCCTGCAGGCATAAAATGAGTTCAGGAGAGGTATGAAGGCTTCACCAAGCAGCTCATCCTTACCTTATGCACTAAAAACCCCACATTTGGGCTGTTTTGGCTGCCCTGCTGATAGTAGACCTCCTGCGACTAAGGCCAAGTCAAGGAATTGGATTGCGTTTTAATGTTCAAAGAAGGAAATTTAACTGAAGCTGTGTAATGTGCCAGGACCATTAAAAAGCGAGAATAAATGTCCAAACTTAACTTAATAGAATTAAACAAAGAAAATAAAAAAACACTCGAATGATTCTACAACCAACATAGATATAAATAAAGTGCATATTCGTAAGCCTCTATGTGTGCAAATGGAGGCTGGGCTTAGGCCGCACCAAAATCCATTTCTTCACTGATCCACTCCTCCAACAACATGACGCAACATATGTTTCCATTTGTCTCCCACGCCTCCATTCTTCCTGCGCCTTGTCCCCAACACAGGCCTGTGCTAACACACAAACCTCACATCCGCAACCACCTCAAACGCCATCTTTCAGGCTCCCATCACGACCATTTATCATCACATCCCTTACCATAATAGTAGCTGCTTGCCACGCAACTCTATCAACCGCCAACACATCACCCTCGCGTGACAGGCGTCAATGCGACCACATCTCCACGTCCCGCCTTCATATACATCGTGGTTTGACGAAAGTTGAGCGCGACAATGATAACACTCCTTCCCATCTCCGCCCTCTCCACGCCCTTATCACAACCCACCACGTGGAGCCGTGCAGCATCCAACTCCCGCCACCAAACTCTCCCCACGCCAGCACCACATTTAGCAATCGCTCCGTTGCTCCAACACCAGCCCCACTAATATCACACCGTACCAACTGCTTACCCAACCACCTCGTGAGCGCATTCTCATCCATCTTGCGTACTGATGGTCGGCTCATATCCGAATTCCGTCCAAGCAGTCCACCACTAAACAAACCCAACTTGCATCATCACCCGCGTTTGTGATTGCCATGCCAAGTCTTTGAACTGTGTCGCATTGTTTAAGGTGCGTCAAGTGAAGTAAGCACTGCGAGCATCACGCGCTGTTGGTTGAGTATGGTGCTGGTGTGGGCGCTTGTGATTCCCACCATTTCGTCCATTTCGATGTCCTATCAGCTGCCCAGACGCTCTGCCACAACCCACTCCCTTCTGACTGATCGATGTGACGTGGCGATGCGCCTCCAGTGCACTGCAGCAGCCCATTCCACCAACCACCCCAGCCGTTACACTCCCACGCACCGTCTTGTTTACCCGAAAGCGCGTCACATCTCAACTGCAGTCATCGATCGTTGGTTTAGAGTTGGGGCGATCTTTGGGCTGCACATCACGTGATGGCATTGATGACAGGTGAAATCGTCCTTTTAGTCAGAAGAGCATCCCAATACCAATGCCGGTGTTTAGACTCATTTCACTGTGTTGTGTAAAGTGCACAGTACTATTGCCTTGGTAGAAGTAGTTTTCAGTGTCCATTGAAATCCAAGGTTGGATCTTAGCCAAAATGCACATACCATTTGGGCAGTGCATAGGAAATTTTTCAATGCTTACTCCGTGTCAGTTTGTCAACGATTCGCTAAATATTCCTTTATGTACTACAGTGGTCCTGCATGAGCTACGATAGGAGTGGCGAACTAATCAGATGGGCGGAATGCATCACATGTTACACGACATTCTTACGAAATGAGCCTGCCAGGTTGGAACGGTAGGCATTTGCCTGATGTAGCTCCAAGGCTGCAACCCAATTATGCATATGATAAAAGTGGAAGACTGACTTGTAACGACTTAAGACACCGGTGCGTAGGAGACCAGCGCGATTCTCTCACCACCAGCTCCTGACTTGGAGCGATTCATCACGCCATCTCGCCACACATGCCATCTTTGTATCATGTGTCTACCTCTCTTGTTTCATCCCCACAATTACTTCCACTCCTCTCATTCTCACACCCGTCAGTCCCTCAACAAGGCTGAAATTGTTCAGCCAACTGCATGAGTTCCTAATAAAGACAATTTACATCAAAACGCGCACTGCGACAATCAAATACCTTACCGGAGACCTCGGATTGACACTGCTGCTTTTTTTCGTTGTACGTTTTTCGACAACTTTTGAAGTTATGTGGTACTGATTTGACAAATAGTACGTCCTACAATTCTAATTGTAATGCTATTGCGCTAGAACGGCTTTCCATCCCCAACCCTTATGCCACAAGAGAGATGTGCGAGTTAAAGTTCGGGTAAGCTTGACAAAGCCAAACCCTCATTAGCATATAAGTTGCAAAACAGGGTAATTCAATTGGCTTCCGACTTCGGATGACAAACACAGCCGACAGCCGATATCGTTCTACAAGCTGGGAGTGTGAGGGAGAATAATTGCGAACGCCAAAAGTGTAAAGTGTGACTTATCCTTAATGCTCTTATTAGTTCAAGTGCATCTGCCTCAAAAGTGGTTGAATGGGGATTCAGGGAAGGACTGCCATAATTATAGCTTTCAAGGGCATTTCAAAATAAGAAGTGAAGTCTGAAATGTGCCTTTTACTTGACACATCCAACCTGATGATTTTTCGTGCTAGCAGAGGTGGTTTCATTGCAATTACAGGCTTTCATAGGTGCACATTTCGACGTCAATGTAAAATGGGCTACAAAGTTCAAACATCACACCACACAGAATGGCACCTTTCTCCCACGCATTACAGCGACAATTTCACCCGAACAACACTGAGCTGGATTACCATTTTCAGCTGCATTGGCGCAAAATGCGAAAAATGCTAACCCACCAATTGTATAATGAGATCGACTTCCACATGGACGTCTTTAATGACTAAGCGCTTGACTACTAGCTGTATAAAGAATTTCACCTGACACGGAGGGGATACTGATGTCTCGCCTCTCTACATCACCGCAAATCAATTACTGCTACCGTCGAGGAATCCTGTCTGCGCGTAACATCATCTTATCAGTCACGTGGGAGTGAATCAAAGTCACTTGAGAATGAAGCGATACACGATGCTGCAAAAGTCATAAAGGGAACAACTTGCAGGGTACCTATTGAGGCTCGTTCTAAGAAGTTGCAGGTACCGCCAAAACCGTGTGTCCTTCAATTTTATTCTCGAACTGGTCACAATTGCACTCCCTCTGACGCGACATCCTTTTAAGCCCTTTGCTGTGTGACGTATCCAAACGTAGCTCATTTCTACTCGCATAAGTTGGCTCAATGTCAGGAAAAGCTGAAGTCTCACACACGCACGCCCTTTGTGCTCTCGCCACATTTCCTAAAAGCTTGTCTGGGGTGCGGTATTTTATGCAGCTCATCAGTTCATTGGACTGCAGCCCTCATCATGTGCCTTTCTCTCAATATAACGTTATGGCGTGGAGAGGGTGACGCCATTAGCGTGGTAATAGTGAAGCACTAGCATCTCTTTTATTGCTGCCCCCTATCCTCTACACCTCACAGAAGGTGCTCAGCCCTTTCAGATCAAACGACTAATGCAGTTTGTTTGATGTAGTCTGGGCCATGCAGCACTCTGCCCACGTGTGCGAGTGACTAAGGCTGAGAGTTGTTACTTCTTAAAGTAGTACCTCACTCATCCACTTTGTCGTTGTACGGCAAAACGTGCGTTTGCATTCGCTTCGCAGTAATAAATGCTGCTTTACCTTTGTGCATTTGAATACACCTTCTATTAGTTAATCTGCGATCTCACCTTTAAGAATGAGTTGTGAAGAGCATGGCATGGTTCCATCATTGTCGTCATGGTCATCGGGTTTATGAAGGTTTTGGAGTTTCGTTGAAATCGGGGACAACGTCTTTTAATGCAAATAGCCAAGAAATGTTTCTCTCCAAATAACCATGTCTGCCAGCTGGAAGAAGAGGAATTTTACGATACAATGAAATGATTGTTTGATAGCTAGGACATTTGGGTCGACGAAAAGTATAGAAAGGACTTCACTGAGCTTATATTCTTTTGTTTATTTATTTCAACGATCAAGTGCTTTTTGTTTTTAATTTATTTTTAGACTGGTGCAAAGAATACCAAGACTGGGAGCTCGTGCGAAAGCGACTACCACCGCATCGAGTTTGTTTCGGATGCCGATATAAGCCAAGGACAAGAAAAATTCCTTGCCTCTGCCAGTGACCATCCAGAGCATTGATTAAACATCCACTGCCTCCATTTTTGCCCTCCACCAACTGCTGCAGTGGACAACCAATGTTTGCACTGTCGGATAATTTTGATACGCAGCGAATTACAGTCATTCTTTTTGCGGAAGCCATGGCAGCAACTTGTGGACAAAGGCAACGTGTAAGCATTGAAAAATTTCTTATGCACTGCCCAAATGGTATGTGCATTTTGGCTAAGATCCAACCTTGGATTTCAATGGACACTGAAAACTACTTCCACCAAGGCAATAGTACTGTGCACTTTACACAGCACAGTGAAATGAGTCTAAACACCGGCATTGGTATTGGGATGCTCTTCTGACTAAAAGGATGATTTCACCTGTCATCAACGCCATCACGTGATGTGCAGCCCAAAGATCGCCCCAACTCTAAAACCAACGATCGATGACTGCAGTTGAGACGCCTTCGTTGTGACGCGCTTTCGGATAAACAAGACGGTGCGTGGGAGTGTAACGGCTGGGGTGGTTGGTGGAATGGGCTGCTGCAGTGCACTGGAGGCGCATCGCCACGTCACATCGATCAGTCAGAAGGGAGTGGGTTGTGGCAGAGCGTCTGGGCAGCTGATAGGACATCGAAATGGACGAAATGGTGGGAATCACAAGCGCCCACACCAGCACCATACTCAACCAACAGCGCGTGATGCTCGCAGTGCTTACTTCACTTGACGCACCTTAAACAATGCGACACAGTTCAAAGACTTGGCATGGCAATCACAAACGCGGGTGATGATGCAAGTTGGGTTTGTTTAGTGGTGGACTGCTTGGACGGAATTCGGATATGAGCCGACCATCAGTACGCAAGATGGATGAGAATGCGCTCACGAGGTGGTTGGGTAAGCAGTTGGTACGGTGTGATATTAGTGGGGCTGGTGTTGGAGCAACGGAGCGATTGCTAAATGTGGTGCTGGCGTGGGGAGAGTTTGGTGGCGGGAGTTGGATGCTGCACGGCTCCACGTGGTGGGTTGTGATAAGGGCGTGGAGAGGGCGGAGATGGGAAGGAGTGTTATCATTGTCGCGCTCAACTTTCGTCAAACCACGTTGTATATGAAGGCGGGACGTGGAGATGTGGTCGCATTGACGCCTGTCACGCGAGGGTGATGCGTTGGCGGTTGATAGAGTTGCGTCAAAGACCAGAACGTAGTTGGTGGTGAGTGCGTGGCAAGCAGCTACTGTTATGGTAAGGGATGTGATGATAAATGGTCGTGATGGGAGCCTGAAAGATGGCGTTTGAGGTGGTTGCGGATGTGAGGTTTGTGTGTTAGCACAGGCCTGTGTTGGGGACAAGGCGCAGGAAGAATGGAGGCGTGGGAGACAAATGGAAACATATGTTGCGTCATGTTGTTGGGGGAGTGGAATGGGTAGGTGAGGGTGTCATCCAAACTCACACTTTCATAGATCAATGGACAAATATGATCGACACAGTCATTGTCTTTTCTGTGATTGTTCAGTGAGCGTGGAAAGTACTTCCACTTTCACCTGGGCTAGCCTGTTCTCTTAAATGTTCACTAAAAGTAAGCGCAATGAGTTCGCATAAATTCATGTGACACCCGGGCAGCATTGCTTCATAGGCATTGCTGACACAAAGTCATGTGACCTGTTAGATAGGGGAGTCGTATTGTGCAATCATACCTCGTCATCCATGCTTCAACCATCCCCTCCTCCCAATACAGATGACAAATTTTGCAAACCAATTGCCTATACGTTATTCAAATCTTATGCCTTACCCATCGGAGTGGGACATTCGCCTTCCAATTGTGGGGAATTATTTATTTTGAGACGAAACTTGGAGAGTGGAATAGGCCTCATCTTCCCTGCATCTTAGACCATGTTCTTCTATTATTGAACATCACCTGAGAATTGAAGGACTGCCCCACCATAGCAACTCGCCTTATTCAATTAGCTTGCACATCATCACAACTTAAAATCTGACTGCACTTGTCACCTGTGTGAGTCGAGACAGCTCAGTTACAATGGCACAGTAGAGAGAAAATGGAAGTAGTTTTCGGGGTTCATGCTAGAGTAGTGCGAAATCACATGTTGCAATTTACTTTCCATCTAAAACCCCCCTACAAATTGTAGGTAGCACCGGCTGCGCGCCCACCAATGCCTGCATAAATGACCCTGAGCGCAGCCGTCTGATTGGATGATTGATAGCAAATTAGATGCCAGCCTTCGCCCAAGACGTTTATTTCACTCTGTGCACAGCATTTCAGTGCCTCCTCGACTGTACGTTGCGTACGTTATCTGTTCCGCCAAATTTCGTGAAAATTAGTTGATTTTCTTGAAACCGTCCTAATAATCTTTAAGTTATACTACACGTTGATATTTTGAATGTCCCTTCTTAATCTACAAAATTTAGAACAATTTTATGATCATGTCTTATCATTTCAGATTGGAAGTCACATTTTCAATAATATTTATTGATTTATTGATTATAAGTGGTTGTGAAATGAGTTTATCCTTTCCTCTTGGTGAAACCAAGAATTTAATGTTAAGTTGCGTCCCAAGTTAAGGGGAACCTTAAAGCTGAGAGACGATTATAACTTGTACGTAATTTTCAACTTGGAATCTGCCTTCAATACTATAAACTATCAGGTATTTTCCTTCCGAGGTCTTTCGAAAGTACACGTAGTCCAGGATCGAACGTTACTTACACATGGGTGGATGTAACTGTATGTGATGAGGTAGATGATTAGAGCAGGACGATCCCACATCTTGTTATACGCCATTAGCTATATTAGAGTGTACTTCCACCGCATTTTTTGCCCTTATGATTGTCACCCAGGTTAAACATGTGATCCTTTGTGATAAACGACCTTTGGTATGTTTTCTGAGGCCCTTCATGGTCAATAGCTTCACGCGCATGTTGGGCAACTTCTAGTACTTGGCATTGGTATGGTGCTCTGGTTTAATTGGTGTCGTTAACAAAAGTGGTACGCAAGGGCGATTTGCTTCTTGCCTTTTGTTGTCTAAGTTGCCTTGGCGTTTTCAAAATGGACATCAGTGGTGGAAGTGTTCGGCTAAAACTACCTTATTGAACCTTTCTTCTAAGCATTTACATGGGTGATATTTCGAAAGGAGAGCTTTCACCACACGATCTATTTTACTTCCACTTCAAAGTTACATGCAATTTTTTTCGTGAAATGCAATGCTAAGTTAGTGATAAATTTCGCTGTGCCATTATCGAGATTGGGAATTAAAGGTGGATGAAACTTAAATTATGTGGCCTGATGCGGTATTGAGTAACTAAGATAGTAAAGTGGCGTAGCTCGAGGTGTTCGTGATATCGAAGGTTGCATTATTTTTTTTTTGCTAACGCAACAGCTTCCAAGTTTTTCTGCATTTCCTATTCTAGCTTTTGTTCATCGCGCAAAAGTTGAAGTAATGTCTGGCTATCCTCCACCTGTTGGCTTTAACATCAATCCCGACGCTCCGTTGAGTTATCCTCCTCAGGGTCAACTGGGCTACCCCCCTCAGGGCGCATATCCACCGCAGGGTGGTCAAATGGGTTACCCTCCTCAGGGCGGTCAAGTGGGCTACCCTCCGCAGGGCCCGATGGGACAGCTCCCACCACAAGGTCAAATGGGATATCCCCCCTATGGAGGTCAGCCGGGCTATGGTGCCGCGCCTCCTCTTCAAGGCGGTTATACAAATGGTGCGTTGTTGCCAAATGGTTAAACTAATGCTTAGCGAGATTTAGCTAAGCGGTTTGGCAATAGCTTGTATCTGGGTATGTTAAGGCTCGCATTGTTCTAGCTGATGGTTTACGCATTGTTCTAGCTGATGGTTTACGCATTGTTCTAGCTGATGGTTTACGCATTGTCCTCTTTGTGCTGTCTGTGCGTTGATCGCCAGTTGTTAATCCATGTTGTACAGATTTATCTGAGCACTGGTCTTTTTTACAAATGGCGAACCGTGGAAGTTGACTAGTATCAACTTCTATCGCGCGGAAATCATTACAGATCTCTGGATTAATCATGATCTCACAGACTGATGATGATTATTCAACCTTGGAAGAAGGTCCAACACACATTTTATTCTGCGGTGTTCAATGAATCGGGAACTGCCGATCGTATTTGCAAATCTTTGTCCATTCGGCAAACTCCCAGTTAGGTGGATGAGGTATTCAATTTTTCAAGACTTATTTGTGGTGCCTTACTTTAACTTTCCATCTTTTTAGTAAAATTACAACTTTTCCCGTTTGTATTCCTTCCTCCCCGTTAAATGACTTAACGAAAGAAAGACATTCCTGCTTTTAAATGTTCGTAGTTCGGTTTCTGGTGCAAAATGCAGCACATTGCAATAAATGGCTACTGCGGTTTATGGTTCGTCTTAAGTTGCTTAGTTCATCCTGATTATGTGCGTTTACAATTTACTGAAAATAAAATCTCTTCTTGTTCTAGTTCCGGGCTATGGAGCTGGAGCTGCTGGCGGCCTGACGGGAACATTTGGTGGGGGAGCTGCCACAGGGTCGTTCTCGGTGTACTACAGTGGAAGACCAACAGTTGTTCCAATGCCCAACTTCGATCCTGGCCAAGACGCTGAGGAGCTGCGCAAGGCCATGCGTGGATTGGGTGGGCTAAAATAGCTATGAAATTTTATTTGAATTAAAATAATTTTCTGTCTATTTAACCTCTGGAGGACATTGTATGTAACTGGTTAAGGTTCTGCGTCACATATTAAATGTGCTTTCTGTGCGGTGCTATGCTGGTGTTTCTATGCTTGCCTCATTTATTATCACTCCTACGGCATCTCACAAATGTTGAATGCACGCCGGAATGCACTCACTCTTCCAAAAGAACTTTCTTCCAGGTACTGATGAAGGTCGCATTATTGGAGTTCTCTCGAAACGTACATCCAGCCAGCGTTGTGAAATAGTCAAGAAGTACAAGGCGTCTTTTGGAAAGGTATTTTCAAGTCGTTATTAATTAAAATTACCCTTGGTTTAGGTTGCGCGTAGGGTTGGTATCTGATTGCGCTTCTGATTTGGTTGTAGGATCTTGACAAGCATCTGAAGAGTGAGCTCAGTGGCAAGTTCGAAGATTTAGTCTTATTGAGTTTGGAGTCTTTGCCTGGGATGCTTGCTACAACAATGTATGAGGCCATGAAAGGCGCTGGAACAAATGAACAGCTTCTCATTCAAGCTCTTGTACCTTATTCCAATGCAATTGTCGGCGAGGTCTCCAAAGCTTACCATACAAGTAGATTCATTTATTCATTTGTTGGTCAACTAATTACCGCATTCCTTGTTCACCAATTGCAGGCATTTATTCACTTTAAGTAAATGAAAGTGTTGGAACTTTATAATGCAGTTTGTCCCATATTGTGGCGTAGTTTGTTGCCGTTCATGCGACGCCTCGAAACTGCACCCCGTTACCTTGCCGTATTTACAGCGAGGTCAACGTAGATCACGCACCGAATAAATGTTCACTTCTGTCCTTGTTATGCAGAATACGGACGTGATATTATGGAGGATATACGTAGTGACACAAGCGGTGACTTTGAGAAGATCTTGATTGCCCTGTTACAAGCTCAGCGCGAAGAGAGAGCGCCCGTTAGCGTAAACAGTGCTGCTGCCGATGCTGAAGCACTCTACAAGGCTGGGGAAAAGTACGTTTGGTCCCTTTTCAGGGCTTTGTAATGCAATGACATCGTATAAGTTTTCGTGCGATGGGGATGATGGCACTGACTGGCCTTTATTGTGCGGCCTGAATACATCCGGGTTCTTATGCTTCCTACACGACATTGTTTTCCTAGCCGCTTGGGTACTGAGGAAGCCGTCTTCACGCGGATCCTCACTCAAAGAAGTTTTGAACAGATAAGAGCTATCTCTCAAAGCTATCAACAGGTTTGTCGGTTTCAAAATTTTTCCAGCTTGGTGTTCTGAACGCCACTCTATGTGAGTGTTCTTAAACTTTTTCTTCTTGCTTGTTACACAGAAATACGGGAAACCACTTGAGAGCGCTATTAAGAAAGAGACTTCTGGCAACTACAAAGACACCATGGTTTCCATTGGTGAGTGTTTAGTTCCCCAGTTTGATGTGATGTTTAGTCGAGTAAAGTACTTTTCTTTTGACCGAATTTAACGAAATGGTGGTGAACTTTGCTGTTGAGTCGATGGAGAGGAGTATTTTGGCTGTTGACTTACTTTCCTGTCTTCAAGTTCGCTACGCTGAGGACAAGAACGCTCTTCTGGCATCTTGGTTCTATGAGTCTATGGCTGGGATGGGCACGCGCGATAGGTCACTCATGCAATTGGTTCTGGGTCGATGCGAGGTGAGGCGCATATGGCTACTTTTGGCTACCTTCCCGATTCCCTTGGTACTGACTTCACAGATTATCGTTTAGATTGATCTACAGGACGTTAAAGAGGCCTACCAGAGAAAATATGGAAAGAGCCTAGTTAAGGCCATCGAAAATGACACCTCTGGAGACTACAAGAGAATGCTCGTGGCTTTGGTTGGTCCATAAGTTCCTTACATGTACCATTTCCTCCTTTTTCACAAAGCATAAGCTTCTTCGTAAAGGTCCTTGCTTCAATCATGAAATATAGTCCATTTCAACAAAACAGATTCAACTCTGTTTTTTGATTCAACAGGAGGACTACGATACGGATTTCACATTAAGAGAAACAGAGGGACGGCATTGTGATGCCATGACAGGTTGCTCAATCGCATTTTCCTGTGGAGATACTGACTTCTTGTTCATTCCGCTACCCTCAGCGCAAACCTTTAACTTCTCAATGTAGGGAATCTTAAGATCCAATGATATCTGAGGCAGATGATCGACGATCTTAGTTTCCAAAGTGTGAAATAGTTGACACGTCTAAATCAGCGTGCGTGTGGGGAGTAATTGTGCAAACAACGAGGTTAGGCGTTGCGAGAGAAGGGCGGTACAAGAACTCCAGGTTTATAATTGGGCAATCGATGAAATACTATGGTACTTCTCTCGTATGAATGCCAATTCCAGCTGAGGTTGCATAAGAGGACATAGCCTTAGTGGGATGGATGTCTAGTACCTGTCCCATTCCCCTACCTAGAAAGACAGCTACTAACAAAAGAAAATCTTCATTTGGGAATTTCTCTCCCATGCCCGGATAAAGGCCTTGACTAAGGTGTACGCAAAATTCAATCCACTGAGATGGTTAAGTTCCCTACACCCGTTCAAAATTCCTCTTTAAGGTCACTGTCCTAGCCTCTTCTAATGACATGTGTGATGGTCAGTCGAATTCCTCCGTGGCTAAAGTTAGCTTTAAGCAAGATGGAACTGCCGATTTTGTGGAATTTTCACAACAGCCTAAGCCGCAATGGAATTTGATAAATGGCACTGCTGGGTCCCAGGAGTCCTACTTCATCATTGGTTGTAGTGGGATGGCTGATATGGGATGCTCGTTTAGCAAAATGCTGAAAAAATCTCATATAAGAGGGGTTTCAATGTAAAATGGGTTCGAGTTGCTTTTATAGAGGGGACGCGGTTGGTAAAGTCGGACACGAATCTCCTGTTAGCAGCGCGAAAAGACATCCTCGGATTGACATTGGCTGAGCATATCATCAATTCTCTCCCTTCCCTTCTCATATCCTCCGCCAACACTCCCATGAAGTCCGAGGTTCATGGGTCTGAGGGTAGACAGGCAGGTTCTACAAGGCCATGTGATATGCAGTTTGTTTGAATATCCATTTCGATCGCTTTTGCTTTGTTGACCATGTTGTCAGGACAAATAGGCTGGCTAGAGAGCAATGATTACGCGCCATCTCTTTCTGCTAACTATATGATCACTGTAATATATACAAGTTTGTTTAAGTGTGCCTTTATAGGTGAGAGGCGGGAACCAAGTTGGGACGTGAATCACGTGCGTGAAGCCGGCGAAGGACCTCCCTCCGAGTGATATCTCCCACTCACCTCATCTGTATTCCATTCCCCATCCTTCCTAATAGCAATGCCTAATAAATCGTCTGCAACCAACTTCCTTTTGAAGTCTGAGGATCAGGGACCAGAAGGTAGGCAGGCGGTTCCTACAGCCACTATAGTCCACTGTGTTTTACACCAAAATTAAAAAAAGGAAATCTCATTATATACATGCGTAGGGACGAGTTTTATAATATGATGGATATCACCGTCATACATTGCTTAAGTGACCGCCTGGTGTCTGGTAGTTGCTTTGGTGTTCGCTTGGCTCTTATACATGTGGGCATGCTTTGGAGCCAAGCCGAAGCCCAATTCCTTCTCCTCCCTCTAGAATACGTGCATTAAACCTATTTAATACTCTCGTCTACCAGGTGGGAAGTCTTAGGGCACTACAACCAAAATCATATAAAATGATCCATTACTGTTACTGTTCTTTTAGTGCATGGAAAACCTGTTTTGTGTTTCTGATGGGATCAACACCCTAGACATTTTACTCAGTACATACAACGACAATGCAAAAGGTTAACAAACAACACAGCATGAATGATGATTACTAAAATAACGTTACACCATGAAGTATGAGACAAACGTAAATACTTAAGCTCGAAGTTTACCATCAACATGCGAGTTTGTTTGAATCATCTGTATTATCATTGCGTCCAATCATGGTGTAGTTTTGTTTGCGTTTTGGGCTGCTTTGCGTATTATTTAAGCTGGCGTCTCGTAGCTGATCCGGGCAGACTTTTTGTATTGCTTCGGGTGAATCATTACGTCATCGGGGTATTGTTCCCTTTCACTGTCCTTTGGTTTGGATCGTCTAGTGTATCTGATTTCATTATTTTCGAAGTTGACACACATTTCATGCTCCAACTCATGAAGCGCGCTCTTTGTTTCGTGTGATGCATTCCTGTCTTTTAACTGGAGTTAACTTCTTGATTTATTCCGTGACAAGCGCTAACGTTTACTCTAACTTTTAGCGTCTTATCACTTCAGCCATTTAATCATCAGCTGCATTGCCCAACTGCCGTTATCTATTCATAGCTTCATCCGTAATGGATCGGCGCCAGGTGGTCTCCAGTAGTGTCGGCGCTCCTCTTCACGGGCGGGCAAGAAGCTCCAAATCATCTATCTCATTTCGTGCGGGCGATACTAAACTAACGGCCATAGGCTCAGGTCATGGTAGGTGCCACTGTTTGGAGAGTCGAAATTTTCTTATCATTCAGTGGGATTCTGCCCACATTTTGGGCCATTTTGTATCCCTTTCAGAGGTTTATTGCAGTTGGAGTCTAAGACTAGATCTACTTACAAATCAGTGAGGCTTATTACTTCTTAGATGCTCCATCTACGTTGACCATTGGCTCACGGACTTGGATCTCAGAAGACCATCGCAAGAATTTGCAGGAGTTGGTGCGAAAGCAAAAACGGGCCCGCGCTACTGCTCGCAAATTGGAGGAAGAACGAGAACGCGAACGTAATCAACGAATAGCGGAAAATTTAGCTGCCACAGCTGAAGCTGCTAAGCTGGCCGCAAAGCGTTCGTTGCGCTTTAAGAGAGGCAAACTATCAACGTCTAGCTTAAAGGCAGGCCTTGTTCTGCATTTAAAATGTTTTTCTTCATTAGGCGTTCACGTTCATTTTCTTGCTCTACATGTCCCTCCAGAGTCGGTATGGTGAAAACTTAAGGAATGCTACTGATGTTGAAACTGATGAAGTTCCACCGGAGTGTGTTCTCCAAGCCTCTCGGCTCCTCGCCGAAGAGGAAAATGTTGCGCTTAAGAAGCCTCGTTGCCCCGCTACTCTCATCGTGCCTACAACCTATCATTCAAGTTCGCTTATTGCAAAATCGCTATATTTTTTGTTTGGTTTCGTCTGATTGGCTTCGTTTGTTGCACGGTACGACTGCTTGAAAGCCGTTCTAAAGCTGTTTTTGCTAACTTGGGTTTTCTCCTCAAAGAGGATAATGCGCTTGCTCGGAATTCTGTCGCATCTGCCTCCGCTACACAGTCTACTCATGGGAAAATTCATGAAAATAAGGACCACCGTAATGTTGGCTCTTGTCTCTTTCTCACATCAACATTCCCATCAGGCCAGCTCTACAAGAGTTTCTCAGATGATAGCAATCCAAACGCACCATATGCAGGACTTTTTTCTGGTCGTTCTGGTGCAGCTGTTGTCTCTACTAGTATGTCTATTTGAATTTTATCTAGATACCCCTTTCCGATAATTACGTGCTTTATGTATATCTTCCAGGTCTTCCACTAAAAAGCCGGGTATTAAGACCACGTGCTGGGCGTACCCATCCAAAGGCACCGAGAACAAAGGGCTTTGGAGTTCAGGTCAACATACATGATCCAATCGCCTTTCCAGAGTAAGTTGTTGTACATTTAATGTCCCTTAAGTTGTCATTTATGCGCCTACAGTCTGCTGAAATATGTGCTAGTAATTCAGTAACTAGGCATATTGTAGGATTTTTTATTCCATGGCGACAGGTTTTGTGGCGTGGAGCCCATGCTTGGAGTTTGGGTAGGTCTGACCAGCTTACCCATTAACGTACTCCTTGTTTCTGCCTCCCCCTTCTATTGCTCTAACATTACACGCACTTTGCTGAGATCTTGACTGTTTTTCGCCCCTACCTTTGAGTACATGTATATGGGCTGCTCTAGGCACGCTGAAGTGACCACTCATTGGAATGATGCTGAATGTGAGCAGGCCCGTCTGCAAGCTCGCCTTTGTGCCAGCCGAGCTCGAAGGTTTGTCCATTTGGATGCTGATGGGGATGACGCCGATGACGATGGTCAGTTGAGTTCTTTACTAGCGAATCTCGTCATCGTTTTAATTCTTCATTTATCCGTTCTTTCGTATGCTTAGACGCTATTGAAGTCCTTACGTCTTCGTCATCTTCCTCCTCCTCCTCCAAAAGTAGTTGCATTTCTGAGGCCCAGCAAGTGGATAATTTACTTGAACCTGCCAAAAAACCTGTCGGCACAACGGAGTCATCTCATTGGATGCCAAAAACTGGATCTTCTAGTACGAAGTCAGGCACTCCGCTGAGGTCGCTCTTTGACAGTCACTTGAAGCATCTTCAGGAGCGGTCTAAAACCGTGTCTGATCCGCTGCGCTTTATGGAGATTTACAAACAGAAGTGTCAGGAACATGTCATGCACCCACGTGGTGACTCGTAAGCTTGTCGCAATCACCTTTGGTCAATGCCTCCTTTCCTATAGACGCATCGAGGCCTCAGCGACAGCGGTTCATCCAGTACAGGTCAATGGAACACATTTCAGCTATGAAGGCTGTGCATCTGAAACGGACAAAACCAGCGAAGGAGCTTCTTCGATTCCCAGTTTGGCCGAGGAGGTAGATTATTTGTCTACTTGAAAGTTTTAAGTAACACAATACTTTGTAGAGTGCTCACTCAAGGCAAGTGGAGGTTCAATCGCGGCAACGACTGGCTCCCGCCGTTTTGGGACTGAGTTTGACTGCGGAGTTGCATCGATACGAAACCCTTTCTGCCTCTGAACAGCATATTACCGGTCTCGAAATGACTCGGCAGATATCACAAGCTCAGGCAGAGGGTCTCAGTATGTATCATCTTTCGAAAGTAAGGCTCCTAACTAACTCAAATCGTAATGTAGGCTGGGTACCTTCAAGACGTACGGGATAGCGACAGTTGCACGACGCGCGTAGAACATATTAATAGAGAGCTTAAGGTGGTCATCTTTTTACTTTAATTTGTCTACTGCTTTAGAACACGGCTGTGTCCCCAATTGTCTTTCCGAGGGTTAGCGAGCCACGTACTCTTACACAAACCGTCACTAAGAGGAGTTTTACCACTGCTACTGCCACCGCCGCTGCTACTACCGCTTTCTTACGTAGTGAGTGTTTGCTTGCAGCTTTCGTTACTTAAGTAGAAATTTAGATAACACTGGTTTTTGAACCATTCATTCGTATTGCTATGCTCTAGAAATACTATTGGCTTAATAGTTTTGAGATGGAGATATGGGTTCACACGTTGCCCATGCTAGCAGACTTGACTTTTTGGAATCGATTTGATGTAGGGTGTTGGGTGTAATTGAATGTCCATATGACTTCATACCTGATGTGCGGATAAAAGATTTGATAAACGTAGTTTGGAGTTTTGTCATAAAATCTGCGAGATGCATTGTTGGTAAATGTTTCCTTAAAATTTTTTCGAATGTTTTGCTAAGGGGAAATTGTCATGTGAACACCACTGTGTTTTTATTTAACACTTCTTGTTAGATTCTAATCGGTCCGAAGGGATAGATTTTAATAGGGATTCGAGCATTGGCAATTACAACGCTCTGCGCAGAATCGATCCACATGCATCGAGCATGGATGTCAATGATATAAACGTCACCCCGTCTAATTTGGAGGTATCGGCTGCTCTTGATGACCTTGTGGACGTAAGGTCAGAACAGTTCAAGGGGTGAGGTTTGCAACCAGTCATTTCACTTTGTTTTGTTTCTTTTGGTTCCAGCTTTGCTAGCTCTCGCTTTAGAGAATGCATCCATCTCCACTGCATAAAAATGCACGTTAAAGGATATTCTATAGAGCAAATTCAATTGAAGCATCCACTTTCGCATTTGACTGGCTGCAGAAAGGAATAAGCAGCACAATTTTCTTCTAGCCTTCTAGTCTAAGTTCAATCTGAGCACTGAAATTATTAATTGCTATTTACGTTACCTTTTCCGTCTGCACCTCTCAAGAACTTGGCTCCTTTCCAGTTTTTAACCATTAATTCAAGCATTTAAGTGGGCACTACGAACGATCAACTCACAGTATGTAGTCTACATTGCGAATGTCGTATGGCGGTCGAAGGCATTGGGCTGATTTCAACACGTTGTTTTGGGAATGTTCACTATCATCTTTTTTGAATATTGCCTTGCCAACGTTAGATCAATTGCTTGGCTTTTTTATTTTTAGAGAAACTTTTGAGGAGTTGCACTTAGAATCATGCTTTTTTAAATGTATGCCAATTTTCCTTCATTAACCACTCAATTTCGCCCTCTAGGATTTTGCAGCAACGTGCGTCCGAGCTCCATGCTCGCCGCCATGAGGCCGAGTTGCTGCTAAAATATGCCGCCAAGTTGGATCGTGAGGAACGCAAAGTAGCCGCCCTCGAATCAAAGGCCGTTAAGGTGAGTCGGTATCTTGTTCGAAGGTGTTTTATTCCTTCATGTCTCTGTGCTATCTATTTCTCTTTGCAGGCACTTACACAATCGAAGGGCCGACGCCCAACAGAAGAGGCTTACATTCCATTTCAACAGTCGTCGCATTCACCCTCTCCCACACTTCAAACTTTGAAGGCGTAAGCTGGAGTGAAACTAGGCCCAGAAATTTTGATTACCAATTAATCCTGCTTAGTTTTTTTTTTTCAAAATTTGGTCCGAATCTATGCGCTTTTACAGTTAGGTGTCAGTAAGTTCGTTACCTATTTCGTTAAATCTTTATCAGGACGCTGTAATTATTTTACAAAATAATGCTCCATTTCACGATCATAGTGCCGAGACTAAAATCGGTCCTCGCGGCGTTCAAAACATCGGAAATGGCACAATCGAGATTCCGTTACTTCACTAATTGTAACTTCTACCGCCAAATTACTTCTCGTGCTATTTATGTTGTCCGTTGGAACTTGCTATTTTGCTGATTTTCTTAACTCTGCTCCTTGTTCTTGATTTTACCTCAATATTAATTGAGAACAACTTACGAAATACGAGATTACCTTATTAAACTTCACATTTACTTTTATTTTTCGAGATCGACTACCTAAGCCTTAAGAGTGCTGTTGGGTGAGCGGTTTTTACCAAGATGGAGCCCTTTTTGCCGTCACTCCGTTCCCTCAACTTTTTCCTGCATTTCAGGTTTGAAGAGAGTCCACCCCCGCCCGCTCTTCCGACTGCATCAATTTTGCTACCAGATTCGTCGACTTTCCCATGTTCATTCCCTGTCGCATTGCCTTTCGCTGGACAAGTCAGCGTGGTGAACTCTGAGAATGATTTCCCAGTAGAGGTGCTGGAATCGACTGCCTCTCTCCCTAATCAGCCCTCTCCTAGATCCAGCACAAAGCGTGAGTTTTGCTGTCTTTTGAAATTTTTTATCTAGTGCAGTTTTGCAATTTCTCCGTTTCTAAAACCACTATTCGGGATTGTACTTTCCACTAAAACATTTTTAGGGCGCCTTTTATTCCAGTATTTTACATGGTAAATAATAATCACTGACTGTCTGGTAGAATTGAATAGTTATGATCTCTCATATTCTGAGTTTTCATCGCTGAATGCTTATTCTACAATTATTCGCTTTGTTTATAGTGTCGGTGCCCTTTTAAACCTTGAAGGGGTTGTAAAGCGCTTATATGATACTGTTCCTGTAGCTCTAAATTTCGCAATCATACCGGCACTTTTCTACTATTACTTTCAAGATTATTTGACCAGTGTGGTAATTCACATGTTATTTGATCAAATACTCTCAAAGGATGACAGGTGGTGTCATCTTGGCTGTGAGCGGTAAAGTTAGGCGGAAACCACTGCAAAGTGATTTATTTAACTCATCTAGATAGATTTTATTACCTCTTTTTGAAAGACGCAAGGAAATGGTCTCCGCCATCCCCAGGTTATTGAATAACTTTTCTATAATTAGCTCGAGTTGTGTATCTTTTTAGTACTGACTCCTCCTCAACAAAGTAGTTTGGGACCGCCAACAATTCTTCGCGGCAACGATAATGGTGCTGGCGTTGGTGAATCCGACAGACGCGACTTTAATCAGCAAAGCCTTTCGCTGCAACACCAGTTTGGACATCGGAATCATGAGTCACAGATTTCATCACCCCAACGTCTCAACCAAGGCTCCATTATCTCTACTTCCTCCTCACCCTCCGGTCTTCGCGCGTATTCCGACAGTCTTAGCTCATCGCAGTTCGTCTCTCAGATAGAAGTTCGTCTGACCTCTCTGCAGAAGGAGCTGCAGCGTCATGAGAAGCTTCTCAGTCGCATTGACGCGCAGAAAAAGATGGCGAATAAGGATCGGCTTGTGCGTTTGGAAACAACTCTGGAGAATCACCGAAAGGTATATTTATACCGTCATTCGATGGTTTCTGTCCTATCTCACGGTACTTTCTTTCCTCTTAGTTTTGTCTGGAGATAATTGATAACATCAAGATGGAAATAGGCTCTTGTCACCAGTCGCTGTGTGAAAAAAGCCAATTTGAGGCGACTCCTACGGTGCAAATGACGTCCGGTGCCAGTGCACGTACCTCTCCGTCTTCGGAGCCCTCCTTCTTGGGCAAATCTATCCGTCCGTGCTTTCGAAAGTCAAATAACACCATGAGTCTTCTGTCATCGTGTTCAACTGTTGAAGAAGAGGCCGTTAAAGGCACTTGCACGGTATCTGTGGAAGGAGAGGAGGCCTCTGTACCTTCAGAAACAGACACTCTGAAGTCATTACGCGGAGGGAGGGCGCTGACTTTTAAGTCAGATGTGGGTGAAGACGGGAAGCTAGAACGCTTGATGGGTATGGGAACTGTGAAGTCTGCATCACCGAAAGCCTCAACCCTTGCGAAATTAGGTGAAACAATGGCATCGGAGACATCATCGGAGTCATCTATAACTCAACGATTAGCTTCGCCAATGGAAATGAGTTTGATTGTAAAACCTGATTTCGTCCATTCTGCTACGAACGATGTGGATTCTGAAGGACACGTCAGTTCTGCAGAGAAACTTTCTTTAAAGATGCCCTTGCCTAGTAGAACTCCATCCGTTGTGGAAAAGACGTCTCTGTCGATATTGATTTCAGATGATCAGATTAGTTCTGCGACTTTGGCGAGGTCTGAGTCTGGGGAACCTGATAAATCTAGGAGCACCGAAGCAAAAATAACTTTGCAGATGTCTTCAGAAGCATTGGGTCCGATCAGATCAACTCAAATGCATACAGAGATGGAAGAATCAAAAGCAAGCATTAATGAGCAGGCGATTAGTTCCGCAGCTTCTATGCATTCCAATGTATCTAAATGTGTGAAACCTATAGAGTTTGGAAGTTTTGTTGAGGTACTGGGTTCTGAGGTGCCTTCACAAGAAATTATCCCAGTTGAAAAGAGTTCATTCCCCATGGATCCTAAACCAATGTCAAATTCTGTTGCTGCTGCTGGAGAGTTGAATGAGGCACCTTTGGAAGTTGACGTAGGCGGCTATAAAGGTAAAGCAGTGTCTTCTGAGGTGGCTTCTCGAGCTGACCCAAAGGACATTTCGGGGGAGGTTGAGCTGACGACCACTTCTGTTGAAGTGTTTCCTCCAGACAAAGAACCGGAATCATCTGAATCTAATCATTCTCGCACTGAGATCAAGGAGGCTGGAGAGGATTGTAAGGAAGAAAAGGGCGAGAGGAGTGGCTCAATTGAAACTGTTGCCTCAGAGCTCTCTCTTAAAACGCCTTCTTTAAACTCAAATACCCTTAGTGCAGGGGTTCAGGAACTGAATTCAGCAAAGGAATCGATAAATCAAATCACTACTGGATCGAAATCTGAATCGGCGTCAGACACTGCGGATGTCTACACGGAGGACTTTGAAGATGAGGCGTTTGCAGACGATGATCCAAAACAGGATCACGGATGCTTAGTGGGTACCGATGCAATTTTGGAAGTACAGGTGTCAGATTCTGCATCATCATTGGAGTAAGTGTTGTTTCTGTGCAATTATTAGTGGATTTTTTGCGTTCTTATCGCAATGTTGCCTTTCTGTAGTTTCATTGAGATCAAGACAAACGCTTTACTGGATGGATTTATTGACCAATGGCTGAATGATTTCATCGGCGAAGGAGTAAATTCTGTTTTGGAAGAAGTTGAGGAGACTGTGTCCACTGATTATGAGGAGGCAAGTTAATCATATCACCTATTGTTTCCTTCTCTTTAATGATAACCCGATTCTTTTACCATTAAGGTTATTACCGATACAACGGGAATGGTGGTTAATACGCCCTCGCGGACTGTTCTGCTGTTCAAGGATGCTATGCAATTTTTCTTTCACCTCCGTGCCTCTTCAAAGCCCGGAACATTTGAGGAAGTTTTAAATTCAATCCAGTATCCGCCTCGTTTTACCGAGACCTATGCTGAGGATGAGGGTACGCCGGAAATTAAGCGTTTAAATGTGTGCAGAGTTGCATAGACTTGGCTATCCATTGTGTGGGCTCTTCCACCACTTTGATCTATTAATTCGTGGTTTGCTTTTCGTAGTTCCGGGAAGCACTTGATGCGAAACACCTGCTTACCAAATTTAACCCTTTTAAAAGTCAAACATGTGAATTTCATTTTCGTAAAAGGCTTTAGTCTTCTATTCATTTTATATTTGGCCAATTTACTTTGCACAACATTTTTGTAATGCACAATATGGTGGGAGAATGGGTGAGAATGAGGCTGAGAAACGGTCTTGTTCCTCATTTTTTTCCACCCGAGCCAGAGCCAAAGTGGGGAACTTCTCGTATGTTTCACAATTGCAACCGTTTCTGAGGCATTGTTCTTTCACTGCAGGTCGCCTTCCACTGTCTGTATGCAGTTTAGTAGCATTGGCCTAGCTCGTAGATAGTGCAAATTCATGGCTGCAATCCACCACACACACGAAGTATGCGTAGTCTTTTGGACGTAAAGCTGTGCGGGTTCTTTAAGTGAATCACAATGAGACAAATCAATGACAAATCCTCTCTTAAGGTCTTGATTTTGAAAGTGAACAAACTGACAACAAGAGACTTACTATTGCCTTTTACCACTCCAATGGCTACCCTAGCACCTCCTCCCTAGCTGATTTAAACAAGTGATCGGATTGAATCCTGTTGGCTATTTTCTTAATTACAGTAAGATTATGTTGGTTTAACAGAACAGGACCATGCAAACTATAGGTCTACCTATCACCGATACTTTTTCATTGGACACATCCTCAATAATTGAAGGTTTAGTAAATTCTTCATGTTTTTTCGCCGATTTTGACTTTAAGCCGACGATACTTCTTGGAATAAACTTAACAAGTTCCAGGCTGGAAACATAAATACGCAATTTCAAACATAAGTTAATGAGCTTTTATGATTTGTATCGTTATTATTATTATTACTATTATCCTAGACTTGAAGATCTGTGAACGCGTGCCTCAGTCGCGGCTGGTGAACCGGCCACTTTTCTTTGACCTGATTCGCATTGGCATGCTCGACATTTTCGCAGGTGAAGACGAGGACGTCAAAAATAATCGCGAGCCCCGTCTCAACAGCGCACGTCTTCATATGTGGCGCGGTAGGCACAGGTAACCCTCCCGTCTGTATCCATTATGGCATCTGGCAAAACTGGATTTTATCGGTGCAATGGAGGTTAGAGAAATTGTTTCCAAAAAGCTGGGAATATTTTATGTCTACAACGCCTCTAAACTGCTGTATCATTTGCCACTCCATTGTTGTTGCAATTGAATTGGCTCATTTAACCACTATGATCGTGTACATTGTGATCGAATGGTTGTCCTCTGATGCAACTGAGGTTTACTGTCTTACTGTCCTGATTACTTTGTTGAACACCGGTGTCAGTGCTGAAAAGGACCTTTCGGACTGGAGACAAGTCCTGTCTGCACCTTTTTTGTAAATACTTGTCATTCTTTGTCGAATTTTTTTACATTTACGGATTTTTCAAGTTAATATTTTGTCTAAATTATTGTCAGTTTGTCGAAAAGTCAATCAATTGTAATGGAAGGACTACTCGAGTGTATATTTTTGACTGAGTTACTTGTATAGCTTGTCTTGAAATCATGTGAGTAATTTTTAAACATCACTTAAATATCATTTTCATGCGAAACCTTTTCACCATTGCCTTATGAGATCATCGTATTCCATCGAGTACGATTAGTCATTCTTTTCTTCTAAAAGGAATATTAGATTAACATAATGGATTGACAGACAGGCTGGTCTTTCTGTTTACTTTTGCGGATTACTTTGCCAACTGTAATCTGATATTTCAATGCCATAGCAACAGTAAGCACACCAGGTATTACTCTTAATAAACAGTCCCATTTCAACATAAAATTGGGCATGAATTGCGACAGATCAGATATAAAGATGACGTGGTTGTCATAGCAATTTACAGGTGTTTTGTTTCAAAATGGTCTTGCAGGCCCGAAAGTCAGTCGCGTTGGGAGGCCATTCTAGCTCCACAGCTAGAGGCAATATTGGGAATGTCCTTAGATCCAGCGGAATCCTCGGGTCCTTCGCCCTCGATTTTGCCTGAACCGCAGGTTTTCGATCCTTTCGTTCTGCGTAGTAGCCTTGTCCAGTGGACGCTATACTCGAAGACCTGTTGGATCGAGCAGTTGTTGGAGGCGGAGCTGCGTGATGAGGACTCCTCTTGGTTCAACCTTAAGCCCTTTGAGGAGCAGGTCATTGACAGTGCTGTCGAAGCTATTACACTTGAACTTGCCAACGACGAGGCGGCTGCTGTCGTGAAGAGGCTGAGGCACGAACATGAGTGCGAGGAGAAATGTTTGAAGGAGCAGGAGACGGGAAAAAGTGTGGTACTGCTTTAGTCAGTTGGATGATCTTGATTTCCACGTTGTTAATGTATATAGATATGCATTTGTGCATTTGTGACTGATCTTCCTGTACCTTTTTTCATGTCACCCAGGGAAGTACACTCAGAGAGCCTTGTATGCTCTTTCATGTGCTTATTGCTTATTGGTGCTGTAGTTGCATCATTGGAGATGACAAAAGAAATATTTTGTAATATTTTGTGCTCTCTTTGCTGAATAAATTTAACAATGTGGATTCAGGTTTGATTTTGGGGAGTGGGACTAGCCAGGGTAAGACTCATCTTAATGTTGGATTCGAATGGGCTTGAAATAGTAAGTACCAGTGGATGTTTTCTTGGTTTAATGTCATTTGGACGTTGATTTCATAAGGGTGAATTGGTGGCATGCATGATCTGAGGTGCATGACTTTCCCCTCCTGTAGCACAGAACACACATTTTTCTCTAGATATGCAAGGGCACATGAATAGTTTCCACAACTCGGCATTTCATGGGTGGCTCGAAGACTCGGACTTGTTTCCAAAGCAGCTTCAGAGAATGGGTTGAAGATGAGAAAGTATGTGCTGACACGGTCTGAAAGCGTTCAGTCGCTGGTTTGAAGGTTAGGTGACGTACTCTTAATCCTCCTAGACGTATGCTTTTCAGTCGATCTCCTTCTTTTAATGGTTAAAATCAACTCGCTTGAGGATTGTTTAAATGTCAATTCAGTGGGAGTTGTTCAAGTGATTTTTATCAAGTGTCTATTACATTGAGTCCTAGCGGACTCTAAATAGAACCAATCGCGTGAGCTCCATGTGGATGTCTACTGTCAATTCGCACGGATAGTTTGCGAAGCAGGGCATGCGGGTACATGACTGCTGACAGTGATGGAGAAAAGCGGACATTCCAGTCCCGTGTGCTTTGAACGGATTTGCCTTCATTAATTTCTATGCCGACTGACGTCTGTCAATGAAAAATAATAATCTCGGAGCATCGTAGTAGCGTTTCTTTATTGAACAAAGGGATGAAAAAGCTCTCCACAAGTGTGTCCTTCTGGTGATAAAATTTTGTTTCTCGAGAACTACAGATCACGGTGAGGTCGGACTTCGAACCCATGACGAGGCGTTACTGCAAGGTTAACAGGTGTGGTTAAGCTGCTTACCGCTGAGCCCAATTCAAATAAAGGTCATAAACCGAACTGGGAATTTTCTCTCTGCATATATTTGTCGTTTTTTCCCAAAAAATGCAACAAAACACATTTAGTCTCCCAATTTTGTCATTCTTTAACATTACTTTTTAGGAATATTAAAATAGCTTAATGATAGCAGCTTCTACCTCATTTAATCCCAGTTAATGATGCCTTGGCATCGTTACTAACGTTTGGTTAAAGAGGGCACTGACTAGCCGGCTCATCTGATTGGCTGTTTGACACTTACCTCAGTGTCATTTTGCTGCCACTGCAATTTCCAATTGAAGTGGCATTTTTGCCAATCCATTCAGGAATATAAATCTATATCTTGGATCTTATCAACTTTGAAATTGGGCAATTTTTACTCTGTTCATGAATTTGAGCGAGCGCCATCGCAGAGTACGAGACCAACTAGATTTCTTGAAATTGCATAGGGCTATTTACTTGGCTAATTTACATTTAAACAACTAATTGCTCATGGCAGTGGCTTCTACAAGATGTGTTTTTAGATTAATTTGCACCTGTCTGCTCAATTAAGTGGCAACCTTTAACTAAACTCCAAAATGGAATTTAGCTTAATAATTTTTCGCTTTGTTAATGTGTACTGCTTGAAAAACAAATTGAACCGCACCAATGATCGCATCAACAGACAACACTTTTGGGAGACAGGGTCGGATTCATAACTCTATTTTAAATTTTCCGGATGTTCGACATTTTCTCCCAAAAACTGTCCCGAAAAGGACAACCAGTTGAACTTAAATCATATGCGACCCTCCTTGTCCTCCAATTGAATACAATAAATCTTATCAAAAAAATAAATCAAAACTGACCACACCCATTTTAAGAAAAAGACAAGGATCTTCGATTATTCTTTCTGATAGACGTAACTTACATTAGAAAGTATGGCTTTGAAATCGCTCCTTGGCTGCTGTCTTTGACGGTCCTCTCGTAATGCTTTTGCAATATCCACACCCCTCATCTTGTGCCAAAGCGCTGCCACATTTGTGCATTACGCTTTATTGTAGTGAGGAATAGCGAAGGACATCAACATTTTTTTGAAATCAGTACTTTTTAAGGTTTCAGTCGGTCGAATCACCGCTGGATGTAATGTGCTCCTGAGGACGGCAATGCCGGTTAAGTAGGTTTGAGAATAAATGTCGAGCCCCTCCGTTGCACCGCTCCATTGGCCGTCATTTCATTAGCCTCGTGCATAAATGGATTATACACGCTCAAACATGAGTAGATATGTGTGCATGAATGGAAGAGAGCGACTTCAAATCGAGTACCGCCCTTTCTCTCTCCCGCTCGCCGCGTTTGCGTGTGTATGTGCTTGTGCATACTTGAGTTCACTCATGCGTTCCCTATTCCGCTCCTTCGTTCTGGCGTCAGTCGCACAGAATTACGTGCCTCAGAGCACATATGCACCATACGGATTCCACTGGTGCACATGGTGCTTTTTCCGCCTATTTAATTACCACATGCACAAACCCACTGAGAGGTACAGAAGGGAAATACACACGCACAGATCACATGCATTTTCCGTCTCTAGTCCCGGCTGAGACACCTAGGCTGCGGCTTTACTTTTGATCTTTTCTTTCTCATTCCTCTCCTGCATCACAAAGGCTCTTTAGCACTCCATAGGGAATGGGCGCCGCACATTCGCATGGTTCGACAAGGTGGGCAGCTTCAAAGCCGAAACCGAAGTCGAAGCCCTTTTCTCTTGACACTTTTGTTTCCGACTTGGTCAAGCAGATGGTGGAACGCACCGTGGATGGTGTAATTGAAGAAAAACAGAGGAAAAAATCCAATGCAGTTGAAAAAACAGAAGAATCCAAAGAGGTATGAATTTGTTGTAAAGTCAACTCTAAGAAACAATATTGCTCTCCGTCATGCAACTAGCCGGCTGATGAACTCATTAATGCAAAACAAAACAGTCCCTCTCTAATTAGCCGACCTTTGAGGCTGCCAAATTCCATTGAAAATGTCTATTGTTAATTTTACACGCATTTTTAATTTACAATGATAGGGAATCCTCTTTTTTAGCACTTGTTTGAAACGAGTTGCTTTGAAGCCTACATTTTGCCCATTGGTTTTATCCTCTACTTTTATCTGCCTAAAATTGAAAGGAGTATTCCAGGAGGTGCAGTGCAATTAGCATCAATTTCTGGGAATTTTTGAGAAAACTAAAGCCATAAAATTTCTGACCGCCAATTGTTTAATTTAAGATATTGAAATAAGATGCCTGTAATTTTTATAAAGAGGCAAAAATCCACTTTTCGTCTCTGTTTTAACCGATAGTGTAACCCCCTCCGGTGCCTCTTTGTTTACCATTGGCAAAATTGTTTGCGTAGAGTATCTTGCGAAGCGTACTGCTTTGTGCTGCTTTGCGATGCGTTTTCAGCGTCATATGACCACACCTCCTCCACCACAATAACTCTTCAAGGTGAAGTTATACGAGAAAGCGAATGAGCTGGCAAATTGAGTGCCATCCTTAGAATAGGCCAGGTGGCAACCTGTAAACGCTTTGATCTCTCAGTGCCTTGCATGGTTTCAACGAATTCATTCAACTGTTAATATCGTTTTCACCTTTCTTCTCGACAAATGTGGGTGATAGTGCATTCTGCATTCGTGCGGAAAACTTTATTTGGCTTAATACGAAGATGCTACTGATTCCGTGATATATCAGCCCATAAATACCTCGTTGAGGTTATTAATAACCACCAGACGACCTTTGCTTCTGCTGGGCTTTAGCCTTCTCAATTGCTCAGCACATTTGCCGCTTCGTTTCGCGATTGGAGCGGTTGAGCACAGAGGTGACTTGAGAACAAGGCGCAATCATCCCACTCATCTTCACACCTTTAGACTATGACTCGGCTACTTGACAAAGAGGCTTTTGTAAACACCCTTTTAAGGCCATCTCATCAATTAAATCTTCCTTAAGTTGTGTGAACCAAAAAATAAAAAAAAACTGCAGAAAAACTTCCTGACCAAGTGGGCATTCAAGCCCAGTTGAAAGACAGTTCGAATTGTACTTGATGAAATTCTGTGAACCTTACCATCCGCTGCATAGATGCACTAAGCATTTCAATAAAGGACTCCATTTTGGCACTTTTCAGACACATTTCACATCAAGCTGCATTTTATGTAAAGTTTTTGATGACTTATAGTTACTTTGACGGATAATTGACAGGATTTGCCTATCATTCACTGAGTTCTCATACAGTTTGACGGGAATAAGCGCAAATAGTTCCTTTTCCAATTTATGCAAAACACTGGGGCGGCATCCGCTTCAAAGTGCTGTGAGTAGTCACCGGTCTGGGTCGTATCCCGAGGGCGTAGACAATCACTACTGTCATGCAGTTAAGATGTACGTCAAAAGTGCTCCTTTGATAAGTTTTCCAAATTTCATACTAAGTTACTTGTTATCTTGTAACTTTAGTAACAAAATCCTAGGGTCACGCCCTTTTTAACGTCTTTACTGCTCTTCTACCAATGTGAATTCATTCACGAATTCGTCTGCGGAGTGTGAGACATTTTGAGCCCTTTTCAATGCAAAATTGACGGTATGGCTCACGCATTTTCTCCGCACATTCTTGTGGAAGGATGCCTCTATTTTTCTCGGTACTTTCAAGTCAAAAACATTAGTTAGCTAAGGTACTTGCATCTTTTTTTTTACATTAACAGTCTTCGACGAACTCCAAGGCAGATGAATCTGAACTGGAAGTGCTCAGTTCTACCAATGATTTCTTTCGAACTACCTTGGCAGACGATCATCTAGACAAGTCTGACAGCACTCCGGACGGTTTCATGGAAGATGATGAACTCTCCACCACTTCTACATCGTCCTCATTACAGACTACCACCAGTTCATCTCCCCTGGAGGACTCCACCAATGCACTCGTCGTCTCGCCTCCATCTCCTCCTCCCCCTCCGCCCGGAATTGTGAGTGATAAGATACTTTGAAAAGGTCAAAGTATACACAGAGCTTGATCGTTATGTGCACTTCAAGCAATTTAAAGTACGCTGCTGTACAGCTCTAGAGACTGGTTGGTGTCACTGAATGCTCTTGCCTTTTTTCTTCAAGTCACTCTTCGAGTGGCTTAAGTAATGGCAGAGAGGTTCCATTCATAGGTACACAGTTTGAATAGGTACTTACTTCCAGCAAGGGCTCTCTCCCGAGACCTAGTGTTGGCCACTTAGTTTGTTTACGTGGTATCAGCAAGTACGTTTAAATTTGCTCTCCCTCTCAGCCAGAAGATCAACTGGTCGGGCTAATTGTTAATATACCCTCGCGACTAGCATCGTTATTTAAAGACGGAATGCAGTTCTTTTGGAGCCTGCGCACTTCATCCAAGCTTGGAACGTTTGAAAAGGCGTTGAGAGAGGCCACGTATCCACCTCGCTTCACCATGGACTGTGTCGAAAGAGAAGGTGAGTCATTCATACGGAAGCGACGTCAAACTCGTGTACGTTATTTGCGTCCAGCCCCTCAACAGTACCTAGTACCGAAATTTGTTGCACAATTTTCTCTCAAGGAGTCAGACCCACTGGAGTCATCCAATCGTGACATCTCCACTGTTATTTGGTGCCTGTTGTCTGAATTAAATCGCTCTATAAATGGCAAACCACCTTCGTTGATTACTTTTGGACAATAAAGCATAGGCTGAAAGTAAGCTTCAAACAATCAAAGCTAGAAATAACACACGATATCAAACTGGCGAGATTTTCCGTCAAGGAAAATTTGCTACTTTCTTATAGTGATTTCAAATGGCCTAAGGGACAGCACTGAGGGTATAAAATTTACATTGCATCATATTTCATGCTGAAGTGATCTGACTGCAAGAGTTACCCCTAATTTTTTGCGCATCAAGTCATAGTTCCGGAAGCACAGAAACAATTCTTCTTCGAAAGGGTGAAATCCTGTGTTTTATCCACCCCAGATGTTGAACTCTGCAGGTCAGCAGACGAAATGAGCCTCCTGAATCGACCTCTCTTCTTCGACTTTATTCGTGAAATACTTCAGCGCGTATACGAAGGTGAGGACGAGGATGTCCAGCTGAATCGGATGCCTGTTGTCAACAGCGCCCGATACCGACTATGGCTTGGACCCAGGCGGTGAGAAGACTTACCCTGTAGCCCTTAATTAATGTGCAAAATGCTCAGGTTCAGCAACCTGTTCCCTACTGCTTTGACATTTCATGCTTTACTCCAGTTTCGCTACCACTGGATACTGGTGAGGGCAAGGCGCCTTTCTCTTGTGGTTGCATTTTGGTTCTGAAACCAACAGCAGATCTCAAAACATGTGTGATAACTATTTTAACGCTGTGCTTCATGCAGACATGTGCAGATGGCCTGCTGACTTCCAAGACTGAGTCGTGAGAATTTTATTCGCAACGGACCCTCCATGAAGAGGTGCCAATCAATTCGCGTTTGATTGTGCCTGCCATTAATTAGTGGAGTAAAACTAAGCAAATGCTTAAAAATCGTGGCTTTTAGCATTACAGTTTTTCACTGTATCACCTTAATGCTTACACAATGATCTTGATGTTTTTTTGAATAGTTTCTTATAAGAAATTTATGAGCACAATTTCGTGCCAATCTCCCGCCTCCAGATACCGCATAATTTATGATATTTACTGTAAAAGGCGGGAGATTGCAATTTTGCGATATGTTTCTTCAACTCAAAATCTGCACTGTTATAACAGCCACATTACTATTAACGTTACTACTTGTGAAAAGATTAGAGTTCGGTTGACTCTGATATGCCAGTTATTAGAAAGCTTGGCCAGCATCGGCAAAAAGGACGAGCATCCATACCACAGTTTGATTCTAATTTCGCGTACTAGTGTTCAAGAAATCGGTTTTAGAACTTAAAGCGACCATGCATTATCCTGAAACCATGGGATTTCGGAAACACTGGTGTCTTGTAATTTTAAAATTTGTGTTGAAATGGCCGTAGTTTTCGAATGCGGTATGGTTGGTTCTTTTAGTTTTACTTGACAATTTGCGCTGCACACATCCCACCCAAGAATCGAGCTATAGAGTTCTCCAAAGGCCATATTAGTCACAATATAAACAACATTTAAGCACCTTAATTCTTAGTTCCTTAGGTTTGTAACAAACTACAAAATCGTGTAGGATGCACTAATTCACATACCATCAACTTTTGCCTGGAAAGCTAGCTGAATACCGTTACAAATCGTTAGCAGAAACGTCCAGACAAATAACAGTGAGTTCTTGGCTAACCTATGGTGTATCCTTTAAAGGCTCAACGTTCCATTTGCCTGATCTTCTCTACTTGTAGACCGAACTCATTGACTTTGCTAGAGCGTATTGTTCAAACAAATCTGGAGGCCGATTTTGGCGTTTCACTTAAATCGCGCTGTGGCAATTCTGAGGAGGATCGCAATCGTAATCCCTCTCCGCCTCGTGTGGTCATGGATACTAATCGACTGCCTCGACTGGCCCAGTGGACCATTAAACGTAAGGACTGGCTTGACCAACGACTGGAATTGGAGATGCGAGCGGACGAGCCAACCTGGTTCAACTATAGACCTTTTGAGCAGAATTTGTTGAATAATCTGACCATAATGGTCATGACAGACATTTTCAATGAGGTGTACGATAGGTGTGCCAAGAAGGTCGCAAGGGAGGTTTATTATGAGGATTTGCACTTGTTGAATGGTAAACCAGGGTCACAGGTGAGGAAGAACTTTGGAATGGATTTAGTCCGAGTTCGAAGTCCCAGCTCAATGTCGGGAACTACGACATGACAGCATGAGTCAGAGGAGAGACAGAAAAGTGCATTGTACATATTTATTCTTTGGTTTCTATCTTTATACCCTAAGGAAGAAAATTTTGCTTTGTACTTTAAAAATAGAGTTCTAACTGCATTTCTGCTGGGAGCTCAATGGAGGGCATAGGTTTTACTGTAAAGGTTACTAATCTGCCAATTCTCTCCACATAAACTGAGGAAACTCTTTATCGCCTGTTTTAAAATCATCCAGAAAAGAAAGTGCACTGCCCTGAGGCTTCCCACTAGGTAAGAGGAGATGTTAAGATGAGCTAAATACATGTATTCTAAGGGAAACGAAGGGGGTTAAGCCTTGACTTGGCCCCACGGATAGACTACGTGTACAAGGACAATCACAAGAGTAATCGCTGAGCATCAGGTGATCCCATAAACGTAGTATTACGCAGACTTTCCACTAAATAAACAAAGTGAATGAATAAAAAATGGATCGGATTATCTAAATGAAATACTCCTTCCATATTTTCCCTTTAGCTACTATTTGAGTCACCCAACAATAGTTTTTAAAACCATTGTCGCATCCACTTGGTTCGTGTGTCCAGTTGAACCTCGCCTTGACATTTCGCATATTACAATGGATTTAGTTTCATACTTGAGTGGACTAATCACTTTGGCAGTACTAGTATGCGAAACCAATGCAATGCATTTGTAAACGTTGCACTGAATGCTTCTAGAAGCAGATCCTGTTTTTGAAAACGGTGACCACTACAAGCATAGGGAAGTGGTTTTTGGAGAATATTTATCACATATAGTTCTGCTTCTGGACTTGGAACACAGCATAAAACATTAGCTCTCTTCTAATTTTAATTGTCTAAGAAACTCATTCACTGTTAGAAAACCATTTATTTCGTATCACTGCCATGACGCACGAATGTTGGTATGAATGTACTTCACTCCGCAGCATGTGTCCATTTTTATTCATGGTCAGGTCAATAATATCCAGTTGTTTGTATTAGTTTTGACCCAATGCCATTATTCGCTAGAATTCAGGACACATTGCAGACAGAAGATTGTATGCAGAATGGTAAATAATTACGAATTTCATTCTTACTATAAAGTGCACGGTTTAATATGTCCTGCTTATGCTTCACTTCAAGAGTGTAGTGTAATAGCTTGTTCATGTGACTATCTGACGTTTGGCGGTCACTTTAAGGGTTGTCTGGCTCTTTTACGCTTGAGTTAGACTTCGGGCCGTGCTCAGACCTAGTTGCTTTGGTCTCCTTGAAATATATGTATCCAGCTCCACTTACTGCCTTCCCCTACCCGGTGGGAAGTCTTGGGAAGCCCCAATGGTAGCAGCGGAAAGCGAACCTAACATATTTTAACGACTTCTATCGTAGTAAATACCGCTGGCTACATGTATCTACGGTGTGGAGCAGGCACATTTACATTTACATCTTTCCAATTGCTTCACATTGCCCCGTGTTCCACAGACAAACTATAAACAACCGAAGCTACACCGTCGTAAACAATCGACTACCATGCAAAGGTGTCGAATATGATACTACGGTTTTCCATATTTACGAGACTGTAACTGATCCCGTTTTCCCTGTAGCACATCTGTTTTAAACCAGGGTTCCACTGTATAATCCTGGAGGCAATTGATGGTCAACAGATTGTGAGGCTCCGAACTCAGTTGTCAAGTCAAATGAGCTTCAGGCCCAGTCGAAAGCGCTGAGAAGACCTAGTATCGTTACTCAGTCTCATTGTAGTTGCTGACAGGCGTGGCTAGCTCGTGAGTACTTTTTTGCGGTACCGAATATGTTGGGCTGGCTGGCGCCAAGATTGTTGGTCAAAAAAGAGGGATAGTATAATATTTTGTTTATGTGACGACCCAATGTCAGACAGTTGCTTAAGATTTGTCTGGTACATATATGCGCGGGCTGGCCTTCAGACCATGCTCAGGCCTAGATCCTTTGCCCTCTCCCAAGTGCATGCATTCTAAGCTCCACTTGATACCTTCTTCTACTTGAATGGAGGTCTCAGGGTGCTACAGTACGATATCGGGAAAATTGGTTTGTTTTAGGTTGTTTGGATTCGACGACGCCTCATCTGAGGTTTCAGACGTAGTTATTGCTTGCCTTAAAATCATTCAATAGGTAGCTGCAAGATTTTATCAGGAAAAGTTAACTATTTCCTTTCTAGTCCGTTTGGATTGGCGGTTATCTGCGCTTTGAACGTTCTATGAAAAAATAGCGCAGTTCAAATATTCGATGATCTAATGCCTCGCTCTAACAGGTGGTGTGCGAGAATTTGATTCGTCTTCTTTTTGTAACACTAATGAATTAGTTTGTTTTTTACTAACGCAACCATTCTCAATGCCATAATATAAGTCTACTTGGTTAAGATGAACCTATCTCTTGAAATGTTATGCATCTTCTACCGTCTTTTATGCCCACTAGCAAAAATAAGAGCCGTCATTCTCATCATGGGTATCGACGGAGCCGTTCTCGTTCATCGTAAGTTGGAGTTAGTTCTATTTAAATAAGTCCTATGACTATTGTTGAGCTCTTTTTCATTTCAGGAGTCGTCAGTCGAAGCACCGCAGTGGCAGGAGTCGAACCCAAAGTCCGCAAGTTTAGATTTGAAACTTTGTAGTAGCTGTCCATTTCATAGCTTGAGATCCACATTTAAATATTGTGAAGGGTGACATCTTGGCTTTTAACTTTGTAGTGAGTCGCCGTCTGGAATAAAAATTCAGTTGAAGTACGTTTTCTCAAAATGTGCTCATTTTTCAAATCAATCACTTGCTTATTGCTGTTGTTATGATCCTTGTATAGACCTCTAGTTCTAGCCTCAGACAGCGAGAGGCTCCGCAATCAGGACATTGACTTTATCAAGACGTCAGGCTTTGTACAGACAGCCTTTCGTTCTTCACGAAGTGGGGACCAGGCGAGTGTGACTTTACGCCTATTAGAATTTGAAACCGCCGCTTGTTTTAAGTCATGGTTGTGGACAAAAGATCATTAATTGCATGCTGTATGTCACAATTTTCATCCATTTCCTAAGCTATATGGCATAGTAATACATGATTTGCCTAAAGTGGTTCGCAATCGCCTTAAAATTTTTGTTCTGGAGCAACGTCCAGAATTGTCCATGCTTGCACCTATTTCTTTACTTGAATTAGTCTATGCCTGTCATAATTTTACAGACAATGGCTCCAGTTTGTGCGATTGTCACTCCTGGGGGTGATGAATAATAAGCCTTAGCAGTCGCAATTCTAGTTATTCACCTTGAGGAAAGCAAATCGAGGATGCATTCAGCCAACGAGGCCGATTTCCGATGATTATTTCTTCCAGCTTCCACAATAAGACTATTTGGCAATGGCCAATTCACAGAAGGAGCTGGATGCTTGAGTGCTTTTACCTAATTTTTCTAAGTTTCTTACAATTATGTCTTCCTAATACTTAAACGCAAGTTAAAGAGCACCTTAGGAAGCTTGCTTTTGGCAAAATTAATTACATTAAATCTCCCATCCTACTATTTTCGTTAATATGGCCACAGTTTTGCTCTATATCCACCTCACACTGCGGCGGCCCTGTGCTTTTTGTTGCTTCGAAGTTTTTGGACGCTAGTAATCAAAGAAAAACCTGAACACAATTACATTGTTTTAATCTCGTTCTTGTGCCCAAACTTTTCCGTTTTATTTCGCATGTGATTGTCAAATATTCTGAAAATTTGGCAGATATGTGAGTATAGAAGACATGTTTATATCATGCTGGGTTTTAGGAAGGGTAGGAAGCAATTTTTTGGTGTGAAAACTGGGTGAAACGAGGACTGCTTTGAGTCGTTATGTCTATAAACTAAATGTATTCCTATCACAAAGCTTCTTTTATGAATATCTATGTGTTGGAATTTGCGGTCTTAGGTTACAGGAAATTTTATCGCCACCTTTTCATGCACATACTGCCATCGATGCTTGTCGCTTGTCGCCAAAGCGACAATCTATCCTGATGAAACGATAAATTCAAAAGTTCGGATAATACTCTGGTGGGATTAGTACCCCAGTGGCATCCAGTGTGGGAAATCGGTCTGCATGTTTGAATACTTCCTGTTCAAAGAGGCTTTTTCACAATATGTTTGTGTCATGGAGTAGCGGCATTTCCTATGGCGAGAAGAGGCCTTTTATTGGAATTAGACAAAATTAGACGAGCCTGACACCGAGCCAAAATAAGAGAGGATGCACAAAAGTAGAGGCAAATTAAGTGTGGAGATGGTGCGTTTCAAGAACAAGTCTCCAACATTGGATGCAGAGAGTGAGGCGATTGTGATTATTTTTACATTTTTTCTCATGGGCTCGCTATAGGCCTTCAAGGTACCATCGGATATGGGTAGCAGTGGCACTGCAGCAGGATTGAACACGGTTAGTGTCGCAAGCGGCCAGTATGAGGCATTGGTACGCGAGCGGGCCCACGAGGCGGCCATTTTTGGGATAGGACATTCTCAACCCCTCGATAGCCTCTGTTTGGGTGCGCGGCCCAGTGATGATGGCGGCGGTGGTAGTGATGGTGGTCAAAAGTTCGTGCCCACTACGCAAGTGGTCAAAGAGATTGTTCATCCTTGTGTAAGTCTCGAACATTTTCCCCACCATACTTCTTCCACTCCTACCATAGTAAGTTAAGGCGGCGTATGTCCGAATTTGGTGCCGTTATGCGACATTTTCCTTCTTTGTTCCTTCTTTATTTCTCTGCATCTCTTATGCCTAACACAGCCTCTCTTGCCATCTGCCCATGTTTAAGCAATTGACAGTGTCTGTCTCTCTGTCTTAAGTTCTAGAAAGAAATGCATTTGTTTTGCGCTCATTTTTTGACATCGGATTTAACTTAGTCCTTCTCGGATCTTCTACTTGTTTCTTTCTTGCGTTGGTGTCTAGTGTTTCCAAGCTTTCCCAACAGAACAGAAATGGTGAAATGGTAACCCAATCAACTCTTGACTTGATTGTATTCAGTCTAGATAAAACCACCCTTAGGTCGCATGAATATGTTACACTTTTAGTTCGGATTTTTTGATCGGGCAGTTTAAGTCCGGGGTTGAAATGGTTTGCCATTCTCACCCAAAACTGAGGTGTTTCAAAATATCCACTTTGAATCCCATCCACCGTACCTCATCGTTAGCTTCACCTGAAACTTGGACTTGGAGTTAACATCAACTTTTGTCTGTTTGTCTTTCTTTTTTAGTTGAAAAAGAATAAGGCGTTGGCCTATCGTGAGTGGGCGGCTCGACTAAATGACTTAGCCAATGCACGACGTCAGTCACGACAGTCGGTTACCTCACAATGATGCTGTATTAATTCAACATCCTCTTCTCTGTGTAAATACTCTTGGAGATCTAAATACATACATTTTTCGTGAATTCTGTTCCTGTTCTGGCTTCACTACTGAACTCTGCGTTAGTAGACTTTTTAGGCTAGGCAAGTGATTGATGCAGGATCTGCCAATAGGTTTGGCCTAAATGATTGGTATGCCTATGGTATGGTATGACTTTGGTTAGGAAAGCTTTGATTCCCTGAAGTAATGAAATCGGTCTCTTCGAAGGCGTTATGATACCATCCGGCTAATGGTTGGCAGTTGTCAAATCTGCGGTTGCTGGCATGTTATCGATTTAGATCTGCTAACGGCTCCACATTGGTTTCTGCAGTGTTAGATGTTCTCTCGCCTACCCTCCCTTGTGACTTCACTTCGACGTGCGGTTTCCACTCAATCTTGGCGCTCAATGATTCCTGAAGGCAAGGCTCTCATTGGTGGGGAATGGCGGGCTGGTTTGAGCGGTCAGATGTTCCCAGGTGTCGTTTTGCTTTTATTTATAATTTCGCAAATCTTATTTATTCTTTAAACTCCTTAGAAGATCTAAAGCACTTTTCGAGGGTGGTTTCTAAGCCATTGCAGCATTTATCAGCGAATAATATTTTCTTGGGCTTATAACTGTAAGCAGGAAATCTCATCAATTTTGCTGTCGCTCGTCATTCTAGGAGAATGAACGCTGTCGAAAGTTGCTTACAATACTACCCACTGGTCATCAGAGAAGTCCCCGAAATTTTCTACTTGTGATTCACTGGTGTTTTGAAAGTCTACGAGACATCTCAAACATTACATTGCAGCCTAGCGCGATGCTGAACTTTACCTACGAAACTCTGCACCTTGAATAATAAATTCACTTTGAAACTGACAGTATATAAGTTCAAACTCCACCAGCGGACAACTATTTGCGAATGTTAAGGCTGGAGGTTCGCCCTCCAAAATTTTGCTTGCTTGCTTGATTCTTCTGCTGCGGTTGTTAAAGGATTAAACGAACCAATGACTACGATACATCAAAAAACTTGGAACAATGGTATGTGGTTACAGTAACTAAGGTTCGGATAAAAGTCCTTGAAGTCAGTTAGTATTTGTGAAGCCTTACAGAGAAGAAAAGCCTCCCCTCCATCTGCTATAGCATTTGAACGTGAAATGTACTCATGTTACCAAAATGAGTAGTCTTGTCACAGACCACTTAGGAAGCAGCGAAACCCGTCTAAACTATAATTCTCATATTAGGAAGTCAGCTGTCTTTCTGAGTTATTGTGTACTACTGAAGTGCATAGTCCGGCTAAAGAGGAACAGATTGGCGAGGCGCCATGCGCATCGTCTCCGGAGGACTTGGACGCTTCTATCAGGGCTGCCGCCGAGGCCCAACCCGCTTGGGCTGCACTCACGGTGGGAGCGCGAGCTCGTGTTCTGGAACAGTGGGCTTTAAAGTTGGAAGAAAATACATCTTTGCTGGCTCAGTTGATAACAGCTGAAAACGTAAGATTGTTATTTTCAAGAACTTTGAATTGGAGCTACGTCCAGCCCCAACGTTTTAGTAGATGGTATAAATTGTGTTGTGGAAGGGGTAAAACGGTTACGATCTTACTTAGGGAGTTTAAATCTCTGTGCCACTCGTTGAGATCTTCATACCGTTGTCTCGCATAAAACAAGCCGTTGTATGTTAAGCATGGTTACAAAAGCTCTGCTTTGACTTTTGATTTTTTTTATCAGTATGATATAACCAAGTTATTAACAGTTTAAATACAATGTGAGCGTTTTATTCATGTAAAACCACGCGTTTTGAGGCTACTTCGCAGCCTTTTCCTTTTATTCTATGGACTGCAAAATGAACACTTACGGGTCGTCATGCTGGCTTTTTTTGACTCTGTAGGGAAAAGTAGATTCAGATGCCCGTGGGGAAATCTCTTCAGCCGTTCAGCAGCTCCGCTGGTACGCCAACGAAGCTCGCGCCACTTATGGACAGGTCATTTCCTCTGTCAATGTGTCTGGGAGGCGGTTGATAGTTGTTTACCAACCCATTGGTGTTGTTGCTATGATAACTCCCGTGAGTTTGTGCTGTTGATATATTTCCAGTAAACGACTTATGCCCTAATGAGTAGTATTACTCTGTGCGACAATTGTGGAAGAATAGGTAAACCGTGTACAGAATCGTAGCTTCCCTTTCGTGTCACGTGCTCTGTAATGTAGGGGCGAAATATTGACCCTTCTTTTGTTCCAAATTTCAAAGCAGTTCTTCTTCCTCAATCAGCTTGTTTAAAACTCAAATTTTGAGCTTTCATGACTTATCTGATCATGGGAATGTTTTTCAATGGGAAGCTTCCAGAATCTGCATTAGCAAGCACACATATTTCGTGATTTACTACGTGCCCATTTAAGCCTTTTTTCATCTACTGTGGTCTGCATGACTCGGTACACATCGTATTTACCAGTGGATTTTGTTAAAGGACATTGTAAACCTCGAACCTCACTTCTTTGAACACCCAACACGGACAGTGTTTTTTACTTTTAAGCTATTTGGTTATTTCTTCACTCCCTCTTATTTCAATGCCGGATTGGTAAAAAGTTTGAGGTTTATAAAGATTTTGTGGCACGTCTAGTTGCCTCTGGTAATTATTTTGCTGTGAATTCTTGCTTTTGGCTACTTGCGTGAGAGGTGAGCAGCCATTTGCTAACACACTTCTGCGATTGAGTGGCATACCCAATGCACAGTTTGAATTCAAGTTGCCTTTTTAATTATTATGGTAATTTTCAAAAGGGATTATGGAGGACTTGCCTTTCTGTAATGCCTTGCAACCTATCATTTATGCTTTTCACTTGTCACTGCTTGTTTAGTACAGGCAGCTCTTGGCTATTGTCATCCATACCATTAAATATTCTTTATAGTGGAACTTCCCTCTCTCAATGATGACTCGGAAGGCGGGTGCAGCGTTAGCAGCGGGCTGCGCGGTGGTTTTGAAACCCGCCGATGAGACACCTCTTACCGCTCTTGCTGCTGCATTTCTAGCCACCTCTGAGGCTGGACTTGACCCTCGTCTACTCAGCATCCTCACTTCGCCCCGCGAAGATGCTGATGCTGTGGGGAAGGTTTTTTGCTCACACCCTCTCATACGGTTGGTCGGATTCACTGGCTCCACTACGGTTGGAAAGGTGGATTGTAATGTATTTCCTACTTTTAAATGCCTTCATTGAACGCCTTCGTAAACTGGAAGGGACTAAGTTGACCTGTGTATACTGCATTTGTACTTATCTTTTTATAAACTTGAGCCGAATTACCTATTCTTTCCTCGAGCACCTGAGGTGCTATACTTTTATCTGCAACTTCACTGTTAGTTGAGGGATTTCGCATTGGAAGACCTGCTTTTTGTCATCTATTGTTATTAATCTTGTGAAGTATTCATTAAAACAAACGTAATTGGTTTTCTTAAACGTGATCAACTTTTGTTTTCCATTTCCCAAAGAGGCTGTATGCTGCCGCTGCTGCAAACATGAAACGTGTGCAGTTGGAGTTAGGTGGGAACGCACCATTCATAATCTTTGAGTCAGCCGATCTCGATTTGGCTGTTTCCCAACTAATGGCGTCCAAGTTTCGCTGTTCTGGTCAGGTATGCATGCTCGGCGTTACGAGATTCTTTGCTGTCACAAGGTATACTTTTGGTAGATATTATTAAAAGTAAGGTGGAATTGCTGTTGGTATTCGCATCTTGGTTTTTATGTCACACATGCATGACAAATCCGAAGGAGAGAATGAGTTGGATTGAAGTCTTGTGCATTATATGCCTGGCATTTACACCAATAAAGACGCATTTCACAAACAATTCTAAGCAGCCTCTCCATCTCGTCATATGGGTCTCGACCTTGGTTGGTACCAAGCTACTTAAACATCTGTACACCTTCCTTCCAGACTTGCGTCTGTGCCAATCGGATTCTTGTGCAGGAATCCATTCACGACACTTTCGTTGACATGCTAACAACTGTCGTTGGTGGACTCGAGCTGGGAAAGCATCAGGGACCCCTCATTAACAAAGTTGCGCTTAACAAGGTGCGGTCTTTCTACTCTATCAATTTGAGCAGTTATCTGACCTACTTTTTCTGTGTTTAAAGAGTTTGGCATTATTTTTTCAGCACTATATTTTACGTTTGCAGATATCCCGTATCCACAGGCCATATTCACATAAAACTAGCCTATTTTATTATTTTTTTATAGGACTTTAATGGTAATGCATTTGTAAAACAATTGTAAAGCCTAATAAATAGGTTGTCCAGTCGCCTGGCAGCGATTGGAAAAGATTTAATGAGCATTGAGGGGCATGCCTTCCACCTGTAGTTTAGCATAAGAGTTGCAGGTTCCATACTCCAGATGTCGTGGCTCTGACGAATGGCTTGGTTTCCCGAATAAGTCATGAGAATTTACGCTCGAACTCCACTCTACCTGTTTTAGGACCTTCGAACCAATTACACCAATGTGTGCGGTGGTTTCCACATCTAATATGGCCTGACTGTAGCCACAAAATAGGGAGTTTAGTATTGAAAATGTCCTACGAATATAGAGGGAAATTGCTCGAACGAATGGTAGAAGCACAATTTTGTTCGAATTTTCTACTGATGGGAATTGCAGTAGGGTGCTTGTGGTGGTATTGAGAGTCGAAATTTGAATCTGATTCACCTGCACCAAATCGACCCGAGTGGATAATCTTGGTTAATCACACTAGAGAACTATTCGTACACCACTTTAATAGTAAAGAGAACAAACTGAATAGTTTCGGTTGTTCCTGTAGGTGGCATCAATGGTTGAAGCCGCTGAGCGTGAGGGCGCAGTGGCAACAATTGGTGGGAAGCGCGCGTGCGTTAATGGTCGAGGTCACTTCTATCTGCCTACGGTGCTCGTAAATGTCACTCCCAATATGCTCTGTGGTCGGGAGGAGATTTTTGGCCCTGTTGCACCCATAATCAAGTATGTTTGCACTGGTCTCGTTCCTCACCATATTTTGACATTGTTGCTGCAATAAATCGAGTTGAACTAAATTGGTTGACTTGGATTGATGCCATGTTTTCGCTTTTCCATCTCAAAACTGCTAACCCAAAAATTGGCCTACTGATTGGTCGTTATTCGCGATCTTGCTGAACAATTGCATCTTGAAAGTAGTTGTTCTTTTCTATGTATTCACGGTTGCACTGATACCTCAAGTAAAGTATGCTAATGTCTTGACAGTCAAGATGCATCCTGGAAGTTTGGCTAAATGATCGTGAAGTTTTGAAAATAAATCATATTCGTTAATGTCATCGGTGTTCATTATTTTCACACTTCTATCGACTCATTGGTTGTTTTGTTTCCCAAGTAAAATACTACAGTGATCCTCGATCCTATGTGATGTTCTGGTTCTAGAGATTCTCAATCTATTCTGTATCGGCGTCGAATAAGAATGTCTTGTAACTCGCCAAATCACGGTGCAAGTTTTGACGAATGATTGTGTCTTTTCTTCACACATGAAGATTAATCGCTGACGTAGCTTTTCTCATTTGAATCGCTTTTAAATTTGTGCGTTAACAACTTGGGATGATTACCTTTGGTTAATCGACTGTAATGGCCGGAGTCGTCACTACCGTTCAGAAGCATAACTGACCTAAATCGGATGGATGCCTCATCACCACGTCGGACAGCAATGAGTATAAAAAATATTTATACCAGTGGATGTAGTTCATCTCACGCTTTCAGAGTCAACACATTTCTACTACATGTATATTACCTCGCCTAGAGATGTCCAAACTGATCTAAAGGTACCACTTCGCGTGACGCTGTCGCAGTATCACCCAAGCTTGCGAAGTAGGCTTTGATTTGCCTTAAATGGTCTCCTAGTGATACCTCTTCCATCTCCTTCACACAATAAAGATTAGCTCTTATGTTGCTTTATTGAACCTAGTTGAATTATCTCGAAATGCAGTAGTAATGTTTTGGAATAATTCGATTGCCTCCTTGTCCCACAGAAATCTTCATCCTGCGCGCACTTACTCATCGCTATGGTTTCAGCTAGGAAACATGCTTTTTTTTGCATTTCCTTGCCGCAGTTGTCGACACTTGCGCCGATGTTGTACGCTGTCGAGTTGGGTCGATTCAATTTTGTTGTCTCCTTGCTTCCGAATGTTATAGAGGTCTGGAGTGGGTTTAACTAAACCAAAGTCTTCAATGCAGAGGTCATATGTGCAATCAGAGCACCATATCCGTTTTGCATCTTTTGCCTTGAGTTAGGTTGGCAGTATTCTCGTCTACTGATGGGCTACCATCTCACGATAGGTAACATCATAATGGAAGTGCAATCGTATCAATGCGAGCGCTAATCGCAGAATGCTTCAGTGCATTAGTTCAGAGGAACTTTAAAAAACAGGGGTCAATTTTTCGGAATGATCACAAATGTAAGGCAGAATTCCTTCTTCCAAATAATTCTTAATTTCAAACTCCACCTTTGTAAGTCGTGTCTTTACGAGAACATGCAGATTATCGAATGCATAGAAGCCAACCCAACTTTATTTGCTGCATTTTTTCTCCGTACAGAAATTGATCAATTTATAGCAATAAAAAAGGAGGCATTTAGTAAATGTCCTTCCATTTCGATGCTAACCTAAAACTAGACCCCTTTTTCATGGTCATAATGTTCCATTGCCTTGGTTGGTTTGTTTTCCTTTCACTATGATCAAGTGGTTGGCGATTAACATTACCTAAAAGGAGCCAATTCTTTCCAACCACTAGATTCAGTACTGAAGATGAGGCAGTGGCACTCGCCAACTCTACGCCTTCAGGCCTGGCAGGCTACATGTTCTCGCGTGATGTGGGCCAATGCTGGCGAGTGGCGGAAGCGATGGAAGCAGGCCTCGTGGGGGTGAACGCAGGTCTCGTAAGCACGCCCGAGGCTCCATTTGGCGGAGTCAAGCACTCCGGCATTGGCCACGAGGGTGGACCAGGCGCGCTTAAGGAATTCATGAACACAAAATACATGTGTTGGGCTGGTATCGACTAAATCCTCCACGTTTTGCCCCTCGCGTCCTGTTTTAATAAGTCTGCGCTGGATTCAATTTTCACACTTTATTTGTATCCTACCTTTATTTCGGGCTTCTTTGGGAGGTTGTGGTGGGGAAGATCCGCCACATTATTTTCGTATCTCTTTTGTTGCTAAATGAACCCGTCCATTTTTTCTTCTAATTTCCTACTTTTGGCTCTCAACTGAGCGGCTTCGAATCATCTCCGTTTCATCTGTACATGTTGGTGACAAATGTGTGTTCACGAAACTCAATTTTGAAATTCGATAGTCTTTGAGGCTTTCTACGAGGTAATGCGATACCTTAGCATTCTGGTACTACATACGCAACAGCTGCCAGCGGATCCATCCAATAATACCACAAGGTCTAGTTCTTGTTTGCATTCCAAGAAGGTAATTTTGTGTGTAAGCGAATTTGCGCACGGAGGAGGTGGATGAGGTCCCTCTTTTTGAAGCCTATCTGCCTGACGGTAGACTGGTTTCAAATGCATTCAAATGCTGCCGGCAATCAGCATTGCTCTATAAAAGATGTTTTCCATCCTCTCCACACATCTCTCCCTACTATTTGTCTTGCAGTTGAGTTCAAGCTAATTGCATGGGGTACACTGCCATATCGTAAACTCGCAAATCCTGCAGGCAAGGCTCACGAGGGGAGAGAGACCATTATTACTGAGACTACTCTGCGTTATCGTTGTAGTTTTTTTTCTCGTTGTTTGATGCTGTTGCGCGTGTGCAAGCCAATGGTAAGCCTTCTTCCAAATGTGTGTCCAAACTCTTCTTCAACATTGCGTGGCTTCATTACATGGGACAGCAGTTGCTTGAATGTTTTAAAGTGGGTTCTAATCGGCTCATAAAATATTGCTCTCATAAGTGCTGCATTTTTTACATATGATGCATTTCACCTTATGGTCAATTTATAGGAATGCTTCGACCTCGTCGAGCATCATCTTCTCATACACCATTTTTGCCTTGCGATGTTCTGCTGTTGACAGGCAATCGAATGACCCAAAACTGCTTGGGTGAAGGCCTCAGTTAATGTGAGGATAGTCTGTCTTCGGCTTTTGCGTCCATCCGGCAGGATGTACACATACGCGACTTTTGTTTATTTGTGAGGATTCAAAGACTACTTTTTCTTTGCATGAGACATGCTATGCGTGTGTGCATCGCTTTGGATTCGGTGACTAAAATCTACAGAGGGTGGATAGTGAAGGCCTCTTCTCTACTTAACCTGGAGTACTATCGCTATTATTTGTAACGATGCACATAAACGAGGCAAAGTTGTTTTTACCTGAAGAACATGTTTTTATTTCGACCTGAAACAAGATACTAGTATTCATGGCCTCACCTCGGATCGCGCAACATCACGTGCAGACAGGCCAGGATTGGATCGTTGCGCTAACTATTTCTAAGCTCGAGGTGAAGCGTTGGGCTACGACTAGTCAAAATACCCGACTAGATGCGAATAAGATCACTTTTTTCCCACGTCGATGGAATCCGTACTTGTTTCTAGCAGGAGCCTCTCAATTAAAGGTCTCATTTTTCGCAGAATCAACAATCTTTTGGTTCGCCTCCTCTGTGTTTGCAAGTTATGGCGCACTCAAAGGTGAATGAAGTGTTGCGTTGTGTAGGAACGAGCAGTCAGGCATTATTAACTGTCCTTCTCACCTTACGAAAAGTCTTCTACCTTCCCATTTTCGACAATACCTAAGTGGCATGAAGGATTTTTCTGGTGGCTTCGGCCATCACTTTATGGCCACCAACCTCAGGTCTTTTAAGGTGCCAAAGGTTGGCTTGAGCACGTCTGGAATGGACAACCAGGACAACTTGGAAGTATTGGCAATCATTATTGTTTTGCTTGACAATTAAAGCAAAATTATTTTTATCTGATGGCGTTTTTAATAGTAAATTTTAGATTTCGACCGAAGTATCTCTACTAATTAAATGATTTAAAAATGGTTTTGTTTCTGTTGGATGCATCTTGCACGCTAAAACGTCAGAATATCCTGAAAACCGCTAAAACTGGTCGGATCAGAAGTGCCGACGCTAATCTTGGCATGGATGGCATTTGAGTGCCTCGAAACAATACAAACTGTTGATGGGTTATGCATTTAATTCCTCTGTCTGCCTACCTAGCTTCATAAACACGTCAGTCTCTCCATGGAGTTTCCTCTCCACCTGTAGGCCATGATGTATTACTCCTAGTACTTCGCTCATTATCACGTCATCTCCTCTGCATGCTTGGACTTTCGTTTAGCCCACTTACTGAGAGTGCCTATGGCTGATGGAAGACTCCCGTTTTGGTTATCTGCCACTTCACTCTTTGTCAGTATTTTGAAATTTCTCAAAACTTGCGCGCCTAATCAGATCGCTTTGCGATTACTGTTAAAGGGCTCTATGTTGTGCGCTGCAATGCGACAAGCAGGTGCGTGGCGCAGAGAATGCAATGAAGGTACTTTCGGATGCAGAGTTGTCAACACGACTTGCAGAAAGTTAGATGCAATGCCAATAATTGTGTCTTACTAACATTTCTAGAGTTCGGAAATAACTTTCTTAGCTCACAGACCAAGGTGGTGAGAAGGAGTAGATAGCTCCTATTAGTTGCATGCATTATTCCATTAAAGACCCGTACTTTCGACTTATTTAGTGAATTTAGTATCCTAGTTTCCCTTTAGTAACTTTTATTAACAACCTCTCATCTCTAGCCTCAAGCCTTATTAATTCTTTAAAAAATTATTCTTTTTATCTGTCAGAACAATTTAAAACTTTGCCATCTTTAAGTTAATTTTTTTCACTAGTTCACTAGGTTCAAACACTTCCAAACAATGTCCAAAATGGTGCTTTCGAACTGTAGCCATTTCGAATCCGTTAACTTTAGCCTTGTCGCAAACAAGTGGAAGGGGATCATGTAAAAGGGAGCATGAAGCGTCGAGTGTCGTCGACATGACACGTGTCCCGCTAAGGGTCCCCCTGGAGTACATTTGGTGCCTCCCGTTCATTCTCTCCTGCTTCTCCCGCACAGTACTCGACTTTCTGCAGTAAGTGGAGCATTTTAACAGCCACATGGCGTTTCCCTGACACGCATACAAGTGAAGATGAGGGCAACTTACTTATTACTGCTTCGGTTCATGCTTTACCTTTACTTTTAGTCATTGTGTTAAGAGAACGGTTTGTCCTGTTCATGCCAACCGGAGCTATTTGGCTTGCGTTGATCTCCTATCCTTTCGCGAATTCGCACCCCCTTTACATACCAGCAAGAAAAGTTAGTACTACTTCTTTATTCTCATTTCCATATTCCTCACAGATTTCCCCACATAATGCAAACGTGGACACTATTTATTTGAAAGTAAAGTGAAGGCCTTGGGAATTGTCTTCCTTTTAATTATTACAAAGGATAAATTTGGTAGAAGTGAAATTTAACAATAGCTTGCCATTCCTGGAAGAAATAGTGGAGCGCCTTAATGTAGAAATTTTCACACATCAGTGGGAGGAAAGGTGTCACATTCAGTTTATTCGGTTCTCAGAATAAATTAAGTGACACGATTGACCATCTTCGTAATCTTTAAAAACGATCGCCTCTGATGTCTAAAAAATGTTCCTGTAAGAATTAATTAAAAGTGACGAGATAGTGCTTTACATATTTTTTTTATAAATGCAGAATTAGCCTCCATGGACCAGGTGAAATGGAGGCTTTTTAGTTTTCGAATGACCATCGAATCTTCTGGTGGACACAGTTAAAAAGACGTTTTTCGTTTTGCCTCCGCCCTATCGAATCGAAGTGCTCAGCTTCAGCGAGTTCTCTCGAGGCCTTTTAGGTTCCCCAACCAATCGTAGTCGGAAGAAATTCTAAATTCTTGAGTTCTTGCATGAAATTTCTTAGACACTGGTGTGATCTCAGCTAAGTCGATGTAATAATGATTTTGCCAGTTGGGAGTCCAGTCCTCAGCACTTGTGTCCTCTGTTGGAAAAATGAGAAGTTTTGGATTTTTTCTACCATATTATCTATCTAATGTGGATTTATGATCTAAAGACATGACAAATTAATGCAAGAATAGATAAACTGCTTGAAATTGAAGGAGGATCCTCCAATTGCTATTACGCCAATTACAAAAGAATGAGTTCGTTAAGTTAGTTTTAAGGTAGAATGTCAACACATAAATCTTGCTTCTAAGTTTTTACAAGACGCACCAGCATGAGAAGAAGGGTTCACCGTTATTCCTTTGGGTAATTGATGTCATTCGCCTATGGAGTCGGGGCAGGAAGGCGGGGAGCGGGGACAGGGAGGGTAGGAGTGCGAGCTGGTAGGAATGGCACATACACTTATGCAGAGATGCCATTGAGGTCCTACCGGACGCCTAACTCTTGGATGGTTAATAACATAGGGTTGGTTCATTTGGTTGGTTCATTTAAAATTTGAAAACGGCTATTATTACAAATGGCGTTTTGGACTTCAAAGCATTTGTTGCACAAAATATTTCATTACTAGCCATCCACAGGAGGCCAAGTGGCTGTCAAGGGAGGCATGATTGCATCGAGCAAATGGTTAAGTAAGTGAGCTCCTTTGGTAGGGGGAGTGACCAACCCTTTGTCCGACCTCTCAGTCACCACACCTGATGCGATACAGCGGACAGAAATAGGTTCTAAAGGTCGATGTGAATTTGGTAGGACTCGAATGTGATCAGCACTTCTGCGGAGGCTTAGTTCACTCCTGCCGCAAACTGTGGACGATATGGGTAAGCTTTTCAGTACGATGATCTCCGATATTGACTGGTTTTGGTAAGTTGGAGGCAAGATATGTGTGTCCAACTGCTGAGAACACAAGGGCTCTGTTCTTCCCATTCCTGCAATTTTTCGGTTAGGCGCTTACTTGTTATCTATCTTTATCGTGACTTTAGAGTTATCGACAGTACACGTGAAGCCAGCACTCGTCTACGCTCAACGTGTGACATTCTGACGAACTGAACTGGGATTTGAAACATTGCAGC